CATCACATTTCATGTTGACGCCATTACAAATGCAGGGTGGGACACAAGTAGGTTTACAGTTGTGAATATGCAAAACCCAGTTTATTCTTGTATTATTATTGATTAATTATTGTATTATTTTTCCATATAAGAAACTGTAAACTTACTTTTGCCTCACCCTGTCCATAGCCACCAACATCACTCCAATAAAACTGTCAATCTTTTTTTATTTCCTTAACCTCCACAGTAATAATTTCAAACCTTTGCTACCCTTCTTAAACTTTCTGCTTATGCCCCTCAATTTCAGCATGCTTTCTGGCTTCTTCACACACACACACACACACACACACGCGCAGGGACCATCAGAAGGGAAATTCTTCAATATCCTGGTAACATGTTTATATGTCTGTTTGAATATAAGCTCATTGTATCTTCCTGTTTCTCTCAAGATGAATTTCTCTGTAGCCCACCCCCCTCCTGCTTTCTCTGGGAACTTTTCTATCACTTGTCTCCTATCTCCCCTTTATCTCCAACTTTTTCCTCTTTAAAAATGCTCCTACGGTCCCACCTTCTCCTCCTGATACTAACCTCTTCTCTCCTTTCCAGCTTGAAAGAGTTGGCTACACTTTCTTACTTTCTGCTCACTCCTCAGCCTGCCCCAGCCAGGCTCCCACCCACCCTTTCTCTGAAGCCGTTCTGCACAATGTCACCAGTGGCTCATGTGAGGCTAAATCTAGCGGACATGTTTCAGTTCTTATGTTTCTTGACTTCTCGGTAGCATGGCACACCTAATCAGTTCCTACTTCTCCAATTTTAACTGCTTTAGTGAGGTGTAAGTGACATGCAACTCTCTGCATGTGTTAAAAGTATGCAGTTTGACAGGTCTTGTCATTTGCGTACACTCATGAAACTGTCACCACAGTCAAGATGAACATATCCAGCACCCCCAAAAGTTTTTTGGTTTCCTTTGGTAAAACCCTCCCCTTCCTCCTCACTGTCTCCCATCCCTGGGAAGCCAGTGGTGTGCCCTCTCTCTACAACCTACACATGCATTTTCTAGAATTGTATATAATTGAAATCATAAAGCATGGACTCTTTCTTTTGTCTGGCTTCTCTTACTCAACATAACTACTTGGAGATTCAGTCAGGCTCATGCATGCATTGCAACGCTAATTCCTTCTTGCAGACGAGTTGTATTTGATCGCGTGGCTACATCCCGGTTTGTTCATCTGCTCACCTACTGATGGACATTTTGATTGTGTCCTGTCTCTTATCATAACAAAGAAAGGTTCTATGATCATTCATATACAAGTCTTTATACAAATAACTTTTTTTAATTCCTGGGAGTCACTATAATAGTTGTATGATGAACACATCTAACTTTTTGAGAAATTGCCAAACTGTTTTCCAAAGTGGTCCCACCACTTTGCATTCTTAAAAGCAACGTATGAGAGTTTCCACTGCTGCCCATTTTCGTCAATTCTTGATGGTGTGGTTAGTCTTCTTTATTTTAGCCATTGTACAGGGTCCGGCAGAAGTAAGGCTGGCTTCAGTGTGGTTGGTAGGGTACATGAACGTCTTGCATGAGATGGAGAGCAATTTGAACACTTCACCTAAAATGTCATATGGTGTGCTTTTGAGCATGATATTGTTATATTACAGAATTACATGCTTGTGATTTTGTAATAAAAGATTTTGTAATAAAAAGGGGAGTTATTTGTGCTGGACCCCGTAGTGGGTATATAGTGGTATTTTATTATGGTTTTAACTTTCATTTCCCTAATCACATAATACTGAGCCTTTTTTACGTGCTTATCTTCCATCTCTCTATCTCCTTTGGGGAAGCATCTATTGAAATCACTTGACCATTTAGAAAATTGGGTTGTTTTCTTAATCCTGAGTTTCAGGAGTTTTTGAAAATTCATATTCTGACTACAAATCCTTTATTAGGTATGTGTTTTGCAAATATTTTCTCTCAGTCTATGATTTTATTATCTTTCAAAGAGGAAAAAATCTTAAGTTTGGTGAGGTCTAACATCAATTTGTTCTACGAATAATGTTTTTCATGTTGTGAGTACCGATTTCTCAAAATACCTTTTCAATATGTTTTATTATACTATATTCTCCAGATTACCTGCTGTGCCAGGCATCAATTTATTGCCTCTCAGCTTCAATTCATTCTTTTTGCCTGTTCTGTGCAAATGGAAATGGACTGTTTATTTTTTCTTTGCCATCTGGCCCAATGTTAAGCTTCGTCAGCAGATGGCACTGGAGAGACATTGGTGGGGAACCGGGTTTGCCTCCAGGTCTGGCACTACCTACAGCTTCCCCAGTGCCGACGTCAGCTTTCCTCCGCAGGTGGCCTCCCCCAGCAGCCGTCTCCCTGGGGGACCTACAGCAAAGTGCCTCCAGCGAGACAGTCCCTGTGGACAGCTTTTCCCTGGCACCTTAGACAGTAAATTTCCAGCAAATTCCACTGATGCAGCACCACAGCAACTGCTGTGCTTTTCCGGGTGCTATTCCTGCTCGTCTCCAGCAGGGTCTGGGTCTCAGGCCAGGAGTGGAAGGGGTCTCCTCCTTGGGACTATCTCAGCCCAGATAGTGGCTATGATATATTGTATTATACTATATCGTGTTGTTTATAATATTATATCTGCTTTTAAATTTTTTACATTATATCTGTTATATTTTTTATTATATCTGCTCTTTTTACCTTCTTTTGAGTTCTCTTTACTTCGTACTAGCTCATGAGCTGGCAAGCCATGGCCCACAGGTGAAATCCAGCCCACTGCCTGTTTTTGTAAATAAAGTTTTATTGAAACACAGCCATGCTCATTCGTGTATATATTGTCTATGCCTCTTTTCACGATACAACAGCAGGGTTGAGTTGCAACGGAGACCGTAATGGCCCCAAAGTCTAAAATATTTATTTTCCTTGACAGAAAAAGTTTAAGGACCTTTGTACTAGCCCATCTCTCATTACTCCAATCCCCTATTATGATTAATAATTCTTTACAGTCAACTTTCCCTGTTCAGGTGCTGTGTGTTTTCTCCAGCCTGATTGGACCCAGACTGACACATCTCCAATCTCCCTGTCTCCTTTTTCTCAGGCCACTTGCAGGTTCCCCTGCCCCTACCTGGCCCCTAGTGTTCGTGCTCCTCAAGGGCCTCCTCCCTGCTTTTTGTTGTCGCCTCTCTAAACGACGTGTCTGTTTACCCATCTCCCGTTATCAGGTTTAACCAATGGTGTTTAATCTGGATTCTACAGATGAAATTGCGTGCCTGTTTTGTGTAGATGTGCAAACGTGTCTCTGTCTCGAGCCTCATCTTTTGGCAACATGGCTCAGTAGTTAAGGACACAGACCCCGGAGAGAACCTGCTTGTGTCTGAATTCCAGCTCTGCCACTGTGACCTGGGCTGACTTAGTCAACCTTCCTGTTACCTCAGTTTCCTTGTCTGTAAAATAGGGGAAATTATAGTCCCTACGTTATAGAGTTATTAAGGAAGTAGAAGGAGTAAATAGATATAAAGCACTTGGACTTGGCCAGGTATGTAATAAGCACTATGTAAGTTTAGGCCATCGTTGCCATTTCTGGCCCTCTGCCCTGCCCCACGCCTCAGCCAGTCCAGTGTTCCCCATCGTTCTCGTGCTGCCTGCTCTGACTCCAGTCCCTCAGGTAGGCTGTTCCTCTGCTCAGAGCACTCTTCTGTATACGGCTGCTTGCCCCCTAACTTCTGACCTTTCCTCAGGCTTCAGCTCAAATGTGTCCTCAAACAAGCTGTTCCTGATCTCTAGACCAGGAGGGGCCTCCTGCTCTGAGCTCCCAAAGCTTTCTCTTTTCCCCTTCTTAATCCTTATGTGAGCTATTCACATTGATCTCTTGTTTAAGGTCTTCCCTGACAGGCCAGACGTCATTTCTGCCTGCTTCCCTCTTGGACCTCCACACAGGAATACATGTGAAACAACACATGTGAAAAGCTTTTAATTAAGGTGTAAATCCTGTACAAATATTAGGTAACACAGCAAGGAACATGTGACGAAATTGGGTAACCTGATGTCCGGTGAGCAGAAACTTGTATGAAGGAAACCCTCTCCTCTCCAACTGATATGCTGATTTCAACTGACCTTGCAGTCTGTGTCTTTCAATCAAATGGAAGTGAATTATCCAGAAGAAAGATCCAGAATACATTTGTACAGTGCAATAAGGAATCACATCCAGATATTGACTAGCTAACCATCCCGCATCTTTACCCCCTGGAAACCAGATATAGGCCTCAGACGGCAGAGCTGCAGGGAATGACTGAACAGGGAGCCTTATTCCCATAGCATTTTCATGGTCTTCATTCAACACGGGATTGAATACTTTCATGAGTTGGCAAAAACAGTGGTGGTGTTAACCTGAGAAATTCATTGTTACCTTTGGGTTCATATTAGTAACCCAAGTCATCAAGAAAACCATATTCTATTACCAAGCAATGGTCAAACTTCAGGAAAGTTATGATAATTGCCATCATAATTCAAAATAGACACAGTAAAGTGATTCTCCTGGGAATATGTTCAGGGACCAATCGCTTCTGCTCCACTGGAATCCCTAAGGAGGAAGAATTCTCACCTCCTCCTTTCTTACCAACTGTCAGGCGCCAACTGCTTCTTTCCTGTGTCAACGGACTTAAAACATTTCCCAGGTGCCAATATTTGATCTCCAAGAGAAACCATGCGGTAACTGACTAACGATCATTGGGGGAAAGTGAACCGGGGTCTGTACGTGGGCCCCGGGAGATAGAGGTCTGGGGAGATTTCCCGAGAACCGCCGGTGGCCAGAAGGGCTGGGGGAGAGCTAGTTGGATGACCCCAAGGCCCTAGACCCTAAATGGTTGGGGATCTGCAGTGCACCTGGCGTCCGGTTCAACTTCTCTCGGCGACTGGGAAGAGCACGCTCCCTGCCTGCTAGCCCACGCCAGGCTTTGGACTACATTTCCCAGACGGCCTTGCTCCCCGGCTTTGCAGCCTTACTCAACTGGGGCGTGTGTGGGAAGAGAAGCTACTTTCGGTGAGCACCGCGGGAGCATCACCCTACGGGTTGCCCTGCCGCCGCTGCTGCCCGGCAAGATGATTGGGGTCCTGCTCCTACTTCTCCTCCTCCCCCTTCTCTTGTACATCGCTGCACCCCAAATCAGGTCTGTGCAAATATAATGTCTTCTTTTGAGAAGTCTTTGTTGGGGATGGCGGTGTAAATTCTCAATGAAGCTCTGTTCCACCGAAGGAAAAGGAAACGTCCTCGTGGGTCGGGTTAGGTTGGTCGATGGTCGAAGGAGGTCCGGCTGCTCTGGATGCGGGGAGGGTGATACCAGCGGAGCCCAGGCCGTGGGAAGGGACTGCGGACCGGAGCTCCCTGCTTTGTTTCTCCTGGTCCCTTTTTCCATCTAAGCAGCCCTTGCTTCCGGCTCCAGCGAACCCCGAGTGCCAGGCTATCTCAAACACTCAGGGTCACGGCTTTGGGGGTTTCAGACCCAAAAATAAGGTGTGGACCTCAAGACTGTTTTCCCCATAGCTCCCACGCCTTGAACCAACTCTATTCAGCCTCTTGCTTTCAGCCTCTCAAGTACAATGGAGCGATTCAACTTTCTGCTTTCTGAAACTGGATCTTGACGGGAATCGTGGCATCTGCATCTCCATTGCTTGCTCCCTGGTTATCGTTAGATTCGCTGTGCCTCTCTGGGCCGTGTTATAAAGGAGGGAAAATGATAACCCTGAGCCCTATCCTGCTTTCGGAGCAGAATTATCGGGATCGGAGGCATGCCCTGGGACTTCGGGATGGGCCGGAGAGGGAGGTGGTAAATCAGTCGATGGTTGGCTGAGTGCCCCGAGAGAATAGGTAGTGAGCTGGAAAACAGGCAGCCCGCCGATTGGTTGTAAGTAAATCACCAGTGGTGACAGTGAACCACAAACTGAAAGGACACAGAGGGGTGGCGTGGTGCGGTGCGGGTAGCTGTACGCCGGGATAGTCACGTCCCAATGGGACTGGGAGGCGCTCTAGAGGACACCGTCATTTTTTACCCAATTCACCTCTTCTTTTCGCCTCTCATCCAATTGTATTTTTCCTCTCCTCCGCACCCTCAGTGCTCCCACCCCCAGGCGCACTCCGCGGCGGCCGTACTCCGAAGAAAACGGCTGTTTTTAAAAATGTTTCCACCACAAAATCCTCTTATCTACATAGAATCTCACTGAAAAGTTGAACCTGAAATGAAAACAGTGCTCATTATCTCAGCGAGATTGTTCTGAGGAAGATAATACCCCAAGAGTTATGTTCCTAACCACCTAGTTTGGTCATGGGAGCTAGGCCAGAGCTAGACTTTCCACGTTGATTGTCCTCTTCATTCCTGCTTGTTAAGGTAAAGAAAGAGCTGAATAGAGGTCCTGAGACACTGTCCCTCCTGGAGCTGAGGGGGTGTGGGAAACTAGCAGTGGGAAACTAGCTTATTCTTATCTGCCTGGTTGCACTAAGCCAGTAGCTTTAGTGGCTAGGAGTGTGTGGCTTGCAATTCCAAGTTCAATGAAAAAGGCTGAAGTGCCCTTTGAAAGTGCATCTCCTAGTCAACAGATTCTTTTAACATGAGTTTCAAGATTGGCAGAGAAGAGAAGGGAACAATCTGAGGCCCGTGAACTCCTGTTTGTGTATTCATTCTTTTAAAAAAGGCTAGTAGGGTGCTTCAGAACAAGGACTAACTAAACCGGAACTTGAATCTCAGGTCCCTTTTGTACTCATTTGTTTTCTTTGTCTTATTTTTAGTAGTAGGTGTGTTTTTTTCTGTTTCTTTTGTCCCAGATTCAAGCTTTTTTAATTTTAACTTTTTGTGTTGGCTTAGCTGTTTATCAAGGCATAAAGGTGCCAGTTATTGACATAAACTGATTGGCATATATGGGCCAGTTCTTTATTCTTCCAGGCTGAGTCTTGTGATTTCCTAAGCCTATGGAAGAGCTTAGACTGAAGTCAGATTCCCAGCTAATCAAATATTCATCCAGTTCTTATACAGTAGGGAGTAGCTCTAAGCAATTATTATTGCCTTTGTAAGAGACTCACTTTCATTCTTTTTTAAAAAATATTTTACTTATTTTTCTTTAGAGAGAGAGGAAGAGAGGGAGAGAAAGAGCAGTGTGTGGTTGCCTCTCACCCCCACCCCCTCCACACACACACACTGGGGACCTGGCCCACAAACCAGGCATGTGACCTGATGGGGAGCTGAACCAGTGCCCCTTTGGTTCACAGGTCACCACTCAATGCACTGAGCCACACCAGCCAGGGCCTCACTTTTATTCTTGAGCAAGAATAGAAAACTTTTGTTTTCTTTCTTCCAGCCTTTCTTAAACCTATGAAATGACAGCAGTAGAAAGAACCCAAGCAAACTCCATTCTTGGGGTCTGAAGGCACAGGGCGTTGCAGGGCCCTCTGGCTGAAACAAAGGAATTAAAGAACTGATGAGCTCTCCTCTGTCTGCAGGAAAATGCTCTCCAGTGGGGTTTGTGCATCAACTGTCCAGCTTCCCGGGAAGGTGGCCGTGGTCACCGGAGCTAACACAGGCATCGGGAAGGAGACAGCCAAAGAGCTGGCTCAAAGAGGCAAGTTTATCCACTTCTGATTCCCTCCTGCTGCTGCCATTTTACCTCCCACGATGATGACCGTTCTCATTTACTTCCTCCAATCCTGGAAGTCGAGAACATTCTAAGTGCCCCACTGGTTTGCTGGTCTGAGTCTAGCACACTGCTTCATATATAATGGACACTTAACGAATGTTATTGATTTACTTTTCTTTCCTAATGTACTCATCATATACCTCTGTTGAAAAGTAGGGATAAAAAAATAAAAGGAGAAAATAACATTCAGCAGTAGTATCAGAGCTTCAGTACCTACTCTAAAACAGAGCTGACAGTTTGTCTCTTATATGTTGATTGACAGGGGCCCGTGTGTATATAGCTTGCCGGGATGTGCAAAAGGGGGAGTTGGTGGCCAGAGAGATCCAGACGATGACAGGGAACCAACAGGTTTTGGTGCGGAAACTGGACTTGGCTGATACTAAATCTATTCGAGCCTTTGCTAAGGGCTTCCTGGAAGGTGAGTGTAGAACTGGAGACTGTGTGTGGATCTTGTGATCGATGTGGCAGATTTTGCTAAAAGGAAAAGATTGCTCTCCCTCTCTAATATGTAGAAATGCTATATCAAATATAACCAAAAGCTTTTGATTCACAATTGAACTTATTAGTAACAAAGGGGAGTCCTCAACAGGCAGCAATAAAAGTGAACTCAAAAAGCTATAGCAATATGCAAGAACTAAAGCCAAAAATCTCACAGGAGTTTCAGAGCTCAGTACGAGTTTTAGGGTCTGGAAATGAGGCCTCAGGTGCTTGAGAGCTAGGGAGCAGTATCTGAGGCTCCACATAAGGTTGGAATTCACCAAAGGCCATCTGGCCCATTGTACAGGAGATTAAAAAAGCCCAGGCCACCAGCTGAGGGACATGACAACGAAGCTTATCATCTCTTCAGGACACAGGTGAGCAAAGAATAGTCTGCAAGAAATTAGAACCTCAATCTGGCATCATCTATGGGGGACAAGGTAGAAGTCACACCTCCAAATAGTGCAAGAATCTTGAGCTGAGAAATTCACATAAAGCCCCGTAGCATCACATGAAAAACAAATCCGAGAGCCTTCTGTCGGCATTATCCTCCTATAGCCCAGGGAGCCAGGCCTCCCAAGAAAAACAACTTCCACCAATATGAACGCACAGTCAGAAATCACTAACCACATGAGAAAATGAACCGTGAGGGAAAGTTGGCAGATACAACAAAGAAGTGAACCCAGTATTTCTTTTGGGGCCTGACTCCCAGTGGTGGGGGTGCATAGAAAATATCGTTTTTGCTCTTGCTTTGGAATCTTCCCAGTCAGCTGGGAGGTCTTTCTGTTGGGAAAGGCGGATGGAACACTTGCCAGAAGCAGTAAGCAGCTCCTGAATTGGAAGGACTGAAAAGGCCATTTGATAATTTAAGATGGAATTTGGGCATGTAGTAAAAGTATGCAGGAGTTCCCCAAAGTCTGAGAGTGAAAACAATACAAGATAAGCATAAGGGGAACATGGAGGAAAGATTGAAGTCCTGCATCTCCATTTCCAGAATCTAGGTGTGAGCCAGATTTCTCAGGTATAGGAGCCACAGTTCTGTCTCCTCTTCCCTGCAGAGGAAAAGCATCTCCACATTTTGATCAACAACGCAGGAGTGATGATGTGTCCCTACTCCAAGACGGCAGATGGCTTCGAGATGCACATAGGAGTCAACCACTTGGGTAAGAAATCTGGTCTCATCACACAAGCCAAACGGAACCTAAAGTTCTCCTTGGAAAACTTAGGGACCAGACTGAGTCTTCTTTGTGGTGTGATTGGACCTCGGGGCCATAACAGACCATTAGTAAACAATATATGTCATCGTCCTGCCTGATAGTGCAGGGATAAACTTGAGGCCCACTTGGTTCTGCCTACTTTTTCATTTGTGATTCAGATTCACTTTACCTTGGGGCATTTTGAACAGCCTAATCATACTGGGGGTGGTGTCGCTTTCTTCCTTCCTAGTGGTCCTTGTGGCCAGTGTCAGGTAGAGGCTGCCTGCTCTTAAAGCATGATATTAATCAAAGCTGGAAAGAGACAGGACATCATGTCCATTTTCACATAATCCAGACGTGCCTCACAGAAGGGTGTGTCTTGTGTCTCTGACTGTTTCTCTTTCCTTAAACCTGCGCTGAACTTGTTCTGTAGGTGATAACGAATTAATGAGGCAGAGGCCTTATTCCCGAGTTCTCTGCTTCCCATAGCGGAGTCCTGCTCACTTCACCCCTGCCTTGTTCCTGAACTCAGTTAATTTTGTTTTTTCTTCCAGGTCACTTCCTCTTGACCCATCTGCTGCTAGAGAAGCTGAAGGAATCAGCCCCATCAAGAGTAGTGAACGTGTCTTCCCTGGCACATCACCTGGGACGGATCCATTTCCACAACCTTCATGGCGACAAATTCTACCATGCAGGTCTGGCCTACTGTCATAGCAAGTTAGCCAACATTCTCTTCACCAAGGAGCTGGCCCGGAGGCTCAAAGGTAGGCTTCGAAGAAATGAGTGTGGACACAGGAGTCAGGGAAGTTGCTGAAAAAGCCCAGAAATAGCGACTGTTTTCTAGAGCCTGCCCTCCGGGGCAGCGCCTGCTTCCATGACTGCATCTGGGTTTGGTTTGGGGAAGCAGCCCACAGTGGGACGTTGGAGGCAACTCCCAGGGGGCGGGGAAGTGCTGACTGAGTTCGAAGGCTTCGCTTTCCCACTTACTGGCTGCGTGACCTGCGGCAAGTTACTTAACTTTTCAGGACTGACTTGCTCATATGGAAAATGGAACTGCTTCACAGATTATTGTCATAATTAATTCAGGCTTTGTGAGCTAGCCAAGGTTTATTACTCATAGTGAAACCAAGTGGAACAGAGGGACCTGAACTGGCATGAAATGCAGTTATTAGGATAAAACTAGGGCCGGGATGGGGCTGGAGGGGCAGGGTGTCTCCCTAACAGCGAAGGATCCGATATGAGGGAATGTATGCTTGAGGAAGGCACTCTCCAGTCACAAATAAACAGAGTTCCTCTGCACCATTCACTCTGGATTTCCAGTAAAGACAAAGGAAATCCAGGCTGGATAGTTGCAGTTGCCCAGGAGTTGAAATGTGCAGAATGCAGGCTTAAGGAATCAGACACAGGTGCCCCATTGTTGGAACAGGATCACCAAACCATTCAGACCACCCTGAGATGAGGCAGAAGGAAGCTGGTGGTCAACTCAGTTCATAGGTCCAGTCTCTGCCCAGGGCAAGACATTCTTTATCAGCTCTATCCACAGAGTCAGGTCAGTGGCCTGGCGGTGGGGAAACGGGCTCAGGATCAGAATAAAGCAGAGGCTGCATGAATGCAGAAGACTGATGGATGTGAGGACTAGGTGGGGGATGGCTGTGGCGCAGTGAAAGAAGCCTAGGCATTTCCGAAGAGTCATTCATTCAACCATTCAACAGACAAGTTTTCAGTGCCAGTGCCATTCTATGCACTGGATTCGGGGCTTGGGGTTGGGGTGGTACACAAGGCAGGTGCAGTCCCTTCCTTGATTTGGTTTAGATCCAATGGGGGAGAGATCATTAACAAGTACTTATACAACTGTAAGATCAGTTGTATAATACATGAATAATTTCATGTATTAAAATCAGTCTAATAATACATGAATAATTTTCATTGAAGAAATTCAAATAATGTGGAAGTATATAGAGTTAAACATGAAAAACCCCCTTATTCCCCTCTCTCCCCCTCTTACTTTTCTCTCCTCAAGAAACCACGGCCAACGACTTTTAAGGCCAACACCGTTCCAATCATCTTAAGCCTTTATGTAGTACATATTTATCATATATAAAGAACTGAAATTCCAACGTAATATCTTGCAGATCTTTCTGCATAGTACATAGAGGTTTACCCCATCCCTTTTGTTGGCTGCATTGTGTTTCATAGTATAGGTGTGCCTTAGTTTATCGATTCATTTCCTTAACAACATCTAGGTTGTTTCTTTGTTGTTGTTGTATAATTATAATTGTGGTAAATGCAATAAAGGGGAAGTACAAGGACCTGTAACAGATTTGCAGGGGGCCTTATTCAGTCTGAGGGACCAGGGTAGACTTTTCTGAGGAAGTGAGTTGCAAGCTGAGTCTTTGCAGGGTGGTTTGAAATTAGATGGGTTACAGCGTGGGGCAGACGAGGAGGCTGAGGAACAGGAAGAGCAGGAACGATGCATTAGAAGTTGGGCTGGTCTGAGAAACAGAGAGAAGGCTGTTATGGTTGGAACTGAGAATATAAAATGTGGGTCATGTAGAATAGAGTCGAGTTGAAAATAATACAAGTCCACAGTCCTTTATCTGTAGCTTGTAAAATCTTCAAAGGCCTAAAAATTTGTTTTGTTAAAGAAGCTTGACGCCAAAACACATTGGGCTACAAAACCTCACCTGTAATAGGGAGAGTAGGTAATAAGCAGTATATGTGTATGTATTATAGTACCTTTATAACACAGAAGAAAGTTGGAAACATTTCTGGCCCCAAGGTTTCCAGTGAAGAAATGGGGACCTGAAATAGCATATGTATAAATTCCATTTCTAAATGTATAAACGCACCAAACACTATTCTAAGCTTTTTTACATGAACTTATTTAATCCTCAGAATGATCCTGTGAGGTGCAGCTATTATTATCCCCACTTTACAGATGAGGAAACTGAGTCACAACATCCAGAGCTTGCCCAAGGTCACACAGTTAATGAGTGGTAGAGACGATATTTGAAACAGGGCGGTGTTTATTCATGTCCTCTGCTCTTTATGGCCATTTAGCAACATTAAGTCCCGCTTTTCTCTCTCTCTGTGGCACCCCGCCCCCCATCAGGCTCTGGTGTTTCAACATACTCTGTACATCCTGGCACGGTCAAGTCTGAATTGACTCGGCACTCATCTTTCATGCAATGGATGTGGCGGCTTTTCTCCTTCTTCATCAAGACCCCCCAGGAGGGAGCCCAGACCAGCTTGTACTGTGCTTTAACGGAAGGTCTTGAGATTCTAAGTGGGAATCATTTCAGGTATGAATATATTTGTTATTGAAGATGGAATGTTATTGCCTAAAGGAAATAATTTGGATTTGTTTGATATATCATGTCCTTTTTTAAAAAGCACGTTGCCTCCTTAGGTGGTGTGGCTCTGCGAGTTGAGTACCAACCTGTGAACCGAAGGGTTGCTAGTTTGATTCCCAGTTGGGGCACATGCCTGGGTTGCAGGCCAGGTCTCCAGTAGGGGGCATAGGAGAGGCAACCGCACATTGATGTGTCTCTCCCTCTCTCCTACTCTCTCCCTCTGTCTAAACATAAATAAATCTTTTAAAATAAATAAATAAAAAGTGTGTTGCCTAACATAGCTTTTGTTCTTTAACTCCAGGCTTTTTACCTTTTATAGGAGAATTTGACCCATTCACATTTTCTGTGCGTGTGGTAACTGCTAGGTTTGACTATATTCATGTCATCTTTTCTACTGACGACTATGCTTTCTGGTTGTTTCTTTTATTCCTGTATTTTGTTATGTCAATTCAGTTTTCTTTGCTCCTTTTTAGACTTTTAATTCTACTTTTTTATATTAAAAAGAATTTGAACCTGTATTTCTCTACTGTCTTCAGAACTGAAATAGAATCAGTGGACTCCTTTCTTGAATAAGTGAAGACTTCTAAAACTTTTTATTATGGAGAATTTTGAATATGCATAGTAGTAGACAAAATAGCATGTTAAATCCCCACATACCCACAGTCCAGCCTCCACAACCACTGACTCATGGCCAGACCTGCCCTGTCCCAATCTACAACCCCTTCCCATGTTTTTTCAATTCATCTTATTTTGAAGAAAATCCCAGGTATCACATAAGATCACATTCTTAACGTGTTTTTATCTCTGCCTTCAAGATTTTGTGGAAATGACCTGAAACTTTAAAGAATAGACTATACATAAATTAAAAGTAGAAAAAGACATACTCTGGTCTGTGCTTTACAAAAGCATCCCTGGTAACTGTGTTTACTGAATGAATAAGTACCCTACGTGAGAGATAATGAGTTCCCGACTTGGGGTAATGACAAGTGGAATGAAGAAATGGCTAGGTGAAAAGGCAGAATTTTTACCATTTGTTGATCAACTGAGTGAGGGAATCAGGGAAGATATGGTGGCTTGGGTGGAAGCCTGTGCTATGAGGAGATTGGTGGTGATATTAACTGAGACAGCATACGTGGGGGATCTTACTCTGCCGATTAAAACCCCACTGTGAATGTCAGCACCGTGGCTGTGCATGTGCCTGAACCACACTCAAGTAGCTCTTACTGTAGTATTGGAATAATTTTTACAGTATGTCTTAGCTTACAAGGCACTTGCGTCTCCATTGCGTCATTTGCTCTTCACCATAAACTTAGAAGAGTGTGAGGCAGTGCAGTGGAGGCTGCAGAGGCTGGCAGAGGCCAGGTCATTTGCAAAGTCATACAGAGCTGCTCCTCAGTGACGGACTTCTCACTCAGAAATGGCAGGCCGTGCCGGCAAGTTCCCTTAAACGGAAGTGCCATACTTATAAGGCTTGTTTTTTAAATACTTTATTTATTTTTTTAGAGAGGGGAAGGGAGGGAGAAAGAGAGGGAGAAAAATAACAGAGTGTACAAGAAGCATCAATCTATTGCCTCTTGCACACCCCCAGCCAGGGACCTGGCTGGCAACCCTGTCATGTGCCCCAACCAGGACCCAAACCTGCAACCCCTTGGTTTGCAGGATGACTCCGACCCACTGAGCCACATCAGTCAGGGCATAAGGCTTGTTTTTCAAATGCAAGATTTCTTTAAGTGGTTTTCCTCAAACTTTTGTGCATTTAAGAACCATCTGGGGCACTGGTTAAAAACAGATTCCTAGGCCTCAGCCCTTGAGATTCTGATTCAGTAGGTCTGGGGAGGGCCTGAGAACTGGTGTTTCTGACAGGTTTCCAGGAGATGCTCCTGCCACAGGTGCACGCCCGCACTCGGAGCCGCACTGTCGTGATGGACACAGTGCGAGGCGTTTGCTTCACGTCGTAATTCCAGACTTGTCAGCTCAGCCTTTTTCCTTCAGAATTTGCTTAGAATGTCCAAGAAGCAGTTTTCTTGAAATAGCATAGTTTTAAAAAGTGCTTTTTATATGATTTCAAAATTGCGATCCATTTATTCAGTCATTTGTTTAAAAACCCTACATTGAATACTGGCTGTGTGCTAGATGCAAAAATGACAAAAATGAGTAAAAGAATTATCCTTGAGAAAAATTTCTGGGTGCTGCAGAGTTGAGATACCCCTCCTGCATTTAATGGGCACCTACAGTAATTAGAATCACAGCAATGAAGAGAAGGCATGTGAAACACTGAGTACCTTGTTACCGTTTCTTGTCTGCTATCATGTCTTCTCTCACTGTTTATGAAACTGACTTTTCTTGTTCTTAAGTTTAAAAACAGGTGGACCAGAGATAAGAAGTATTTTGTTTACTACCCTGAGCTTCTCTGACCAGTGTAAATAGCAGGATCTAAGCTACGTGCAGTGTACAGTGTCCTGTAGAGCGTACCTCAGAGACTTATTTGAACTACATGGACCATAACACAGGTGTCAGGCAGGCCCTGATATTAACGATGAAATAATATACATACAGAGGGGGATATTAAGACTAAGTGATATGCATTTATAGCAAACACAGCATTCTGATCAGAGGTGGTCTAGTGAGCTCCAGCCTGGAAGTTACGTTTTCTCCAGGATAAAGACTGGAGAATGGAGACATAGCACGATCCCTGGGCTGTGAAACGCCTCAAGGACATGCAGTCCCTGGGTTGGTTTTCTGTTGTATTTCTTATCCCAGGCAGAGAACAGGCTCCATTCTTTTCTTTAATTTTTAAAAAATTTATTGATGTTCAAGAGAGAGGAAGGGGAAGACAGAAAGAGAGAACCATCGATTTGTTGTTCCACTTATTTATGCATTCACTGGCTCATTGGTTACTTCTCATATGTGCCCTGACCAGAGATAGAACTTGCGACTTCAGTGTATCGGGATCATCCTCTAACCAACTGAGCTACCTGACCAAGGCAAGGCCCGGGCTCCGTGCTCAACCCTGTGCTTCACACCTCTCTCTTTCCCTTCCAGTGACTGCCATGTGACATGGGTCTCTGCCCAGGCTCGTAACGAGACCATAGCAAGACGGCTCTGGGATGTCAGCTGTGACCTGCTGGGCATCCCTACAGATTGACAAGTGGTGGCAGTTGGACCCAAGAGACGTGCCCAGCAGACTACTCAGTACTCCCTGCCAAAATGATTCTCCTTTAGGATGGCCAAAACCTTGAGCACAGAGAGAGCAAACCTTTCAGACTTGCCAACTTGCTATCTGATAAAAGCCCAGCATACACTGCCAGATTCTTCAAAATGCCTTGCATTTGTCCAGATTTACTTTGCTCCTGTTATTGCCAGTTACTAGAGACCCCATAGGATAAGTACACCTTCATGAGTACACCTGCAAGCTCATGTTTTCCTCCTGACACCTACTACCCGGCAGAACCTGAGCTATGGCAGGGTTGGTTTATGGCAATTTTGTTCACAATGTAGTTCCTCCCAACCAACTAACCCTTACTTCGAGAGGGTCACACCACAGCCTCTGCCAAATGCCAGGAGTCACTGTGGCTTGGCACAAGAGCAGGGCTTGTCCCTCATCTCCTAATAAAACCATCATGGTGCCAGCCTCTGGATTCTTTGGGGAAGTTTAACTGAATCCGGATGTGGCATGGCTGTATCTCTGCCAACCTAGAGCCGCTGCTGTTAGGCCCTTTCCCATGCCTGGACCGTGGGAGAACTTCCTTTTCTAGGGCATTAGTGGGTCCCGGCGGATGGCAGAAGTGAAAATCAAGTTTAAATTCTCATTTTCCTGCTGTTTCTCTGACCTGCAAGGAGATAGTGAAAGGAGCCGTTTGAGAGGGTGGGCCTCCTGACTCCATTGCTGACCTCAGACCCACGGAGGCCCTCCTTTCAGTGCCTTGGTTTCCCTTTGACAACCAGAAGATGGGAAAGGCTATTTGGTGATGGCTACTGAGTATGTGTGTTTCTGTGAATTTTTGCAGTTGGGAGTATTTTCACCAAATTCAAAATAGCCCAAAAGAAACAGTGTTAAACCAGACCCTGATGCAGGTAGATGATCAGAGATGGAGCCAACCAGTGTCACAGTCTCTGGTGGAAATGGGTAGAGCTGCAAGGGGACGCAGACTGTTCACGTCGGTAACTACCCACCACCAAGCACAAGGGTAGCAAGAAAGAAGTTCCCAAAAGAGAATAAGCCTGCAAAATAATGAAGGGACTAGTTAAGGATTAAAAAAAAAAAAGCTGAAGATGCTAATATCCAGCTATAGAAGAATTAAGGGGGAGCAGTGGAGTTAGCAAGGCTAATTGGGGCACTGTCATAAGCCCCAGTCAACCAAGATGGCAGAAAAAAACCACCAAAAAGAAAAACCCCCCTCGATTTTTTATTCAGCAACATTAACTTAAGGACTGATATTAGTAGTTACAGTTGACTTAATAATCTTTGAGGGCGTTTGCTTACATTATCTTGACAAGCTTAAAAGGTCTATTTCCTGAGGAAAAAAAAAAAAAACTACATTGTATTTGGAAAACTTTTATCAAAAGAAATGTTGCCAAAGGAAGTCCGAGGAATTGGTAAGTTTCCATCACCTGTTTACAGTATGTCATCCTAATGGGATTGTGATTTTCTTGGACCCACAATGATATATTCACTTTGGTGGGGGAAAGTTATTGGTCCACACTCTTTTCATATTTGTAAATCATTTGTTGCACTTGTTTTGACCATTGAACTATATATTTGGAAGTGGTTATTTTATGGAAAAATTGCAAAACGATAATAGTGCAGTGGAATAACTGAATTCATATTTTACTTAATTGAACTGTCAATGACAAATAAAATTTTTTGATTACTTATTGTGTTTTAATTTACCAGAATAAGAACTACAAGAATTAAAGGAAAGTTTTCTTAGGGTCAACAGAAGAAAACAATTAAATGAAAATTTAATTATAATCAAAAGAAGAAAACACTTTGTTATTACAGTTACACAATCGTTTCTCATTCTAAGGATTGCCCTAAAGTGTAGCTATAGGGCAATGCCATATAGCTCATTGCTCAACTGAAATGCCATTAACTTCAGTTGTGTAATAATTTGATCATTCAGTTACCCATCTTCAGCTTTTCTTTTGTGGTGCCGTTCAAGGGTTACTTTTTTCCTCCCAGGTTATGTATCTCCTTTTTGTTATGTATCTCCTTTTTGTACTTGCCCCTCCTATAACAGTGCTATGCGACTGTACAGTACACTGCCTGCCACCAACAATCTCAGACTTCGCTATTTCTCTGTGCTTAACATTAGGAGCTTAACAAGTTTCTTTAATCAATGGTTAATGAACTCAATCTAGTAAAAATAAGGGTCCAGGAGATATAAATCACAATCATTTCCTCCTGAACAGTCATGTATCTTTTAATACGCGTGGGCAGTTTTAAGTATTGGGCTGCTAAGCAAACATTCCAGAACCAGCTCCATAGGCGAACCATGAAATCAGTGAAAATAGGAATTCCTTTCCAGTGAACCATGGAAACCCATGGGCTGCAGGAAAGGACTTTGTTACTGTTAACACATTACGCTTAAAAATGGGACTTGAAACCGGGTCCCCCACGCTCACCACTTTATAAATTACCCAACCGCCCAGAGAATCTTTTCATCACCAGCGTGTACCCAGACGCCCGCACAGTGACTATGTTTGACATTAACAAACATCAACGGAGTGAACAAAAAGCCCTAAGGCCAACCCGGCCACTGAAGGCTGAGTACATTTTGGGGGGTCACATTCCTCGGGGAACGCTTCTGAAAGCAGGTGACCCCGGTCGCTTGACCTCTCCAGGAAAAGTGCTTTGCGGCTCGAGGGCAGGCAGGAACCTGGCCGGACTACGTTTCAAGGACTGAACGCTAATTTTTGGTTAAGACACAAACTAAGAAAGTCAAGGGGGCCAAGAAGTGCTATGACAGTGAGATGACATCCAAGCGCACAATGATACCAAACCAATAAGCTCAGTTTCTCCGGTCAACCCCCGCGCAAAACCGCACCCCTCGACGCGTGACCTCCAGTAGGCGCTCTTTTCTTGCCTAACTACAGCCCCCGGCATGCACTGCAGCGTCCGCCCTGCGCTGGAGGGAGGGGCCCTGGAGAGAGGCGGCCACGCCGCCAGTCCCGCGGGTGCCCACAATCCCTTCCGCTGTGGCGCTCTCCCCAAATCCGCGCTCAGCGTATCCGGAGGTCTGGGACTGCTGCTAGCAGGGGCGCGCCGCTGCTTTCACAAGATTCTCCTGGGAAACGCAGTGCGCGCGACCTTTCCGTACGGCTTTCGCACCCGGCGCTCTCTCCGTGACGGGATGGAGGGGGTGGGCGTTCCGTCCAGGGAGGACCCAGCCGCGGCCCCGGAAGCGCCTCTTCCAGGGTGGGCGGTGGAGCTGCCGGAGGAGGTGGCCGTGATGCCTGCGGAGCTGGGCGGCTGACCACTGTGGCAGGAGCGGGCCACGGGGCCGAGTCTCAGCGGCCGCCGCTTGAGTGCTGCTTGCGCCATGGCCACCTCCGCCGCTTCTTCCGAACATTTCGAGAAACTGCACGAGATCTTCCGCGGACTCCATGAAGACCTGCGAGGGGTGCCAGAGCGGCTCCTAGGGACTGGAGGGACAGGTGAGGCCGAGGCGGGCCGAGCCCTGGGTAACACAGCTCCGAGAGTTCTGGGAGGAAAGGCCCTCACCCTCTTCCCAGACCTGGGCCCTTTTCTCTTCAAACACCGCCCCTAGACCTGGCTGGACCCAGCGCTCAGGATCTCTCCCTGCTTTCACTTAGGGTGCTCAGTGATGGACCTCGGAGTACCATTTGTTTGGGATTCTTGATCCTCCGATAACCTTTAGATTTTTCTCTTTTTCTCACTGTGGCAAGAAGAGCATAGGACATTTGAAATCTGCGGTCCTGTATTTCAGTAGAACTGATTGCTTTTGGAGCCCTCTGTATTTTATGCATTCTCAAGAGAGGTCCATAGTTTTCACCAGACTGGCAAAAGATCCCTAGCACCAAAATGGTTAAGAACCCAAAGGCATTATACCTTTTGGGGGTGGTAAATACTGGTTTGGGGAGTTTGGTCTTTAAAATCAGGATTGTGGCTTTTAGGTGTTGTCCCGTTATGAACTTTCTGCTTAGACTGTTTCCTGCCCCACGGTTTGAATTCAGGTGGCTGCAGTCTTTGCCTGGAGGAGCTTGAGTTGTCCTGTTATATCCATAGGAATCACAGTTCTTCGTCTCAAAACGAAATAGATCTTGATGGCAAGGCGGATAAGGCTTTGTTTTACTGTTTTTACTAAAGGGCCAGAGCTCGAGGGTTAGCTCTGTGAGTTACCCAAGGTTATATGAACCAAATGACTTCTGAGAATGAAATTCATGTTTGTTTAACTTCTGGGAGAGGTTACTGTGTGCCATTAACCTCTAAGGCAGAGGTTACTGCCTTAGATGCTGTTAATATTGTAAATTATAGTGAAAAAACCTACAAATTCCTGTTTTAGTGGCTTGATGACATATAACCATTAAGAGGCCATGTTAGAGGCAACACAGGCATATTTTGTTTTATTGCAGTTCCCCCTTTTGCCTTCACAGATGTTGTGTTTTTAAGAAATTTAAGACAAGACCCTCCACCTGCAAAAAGATTACGACTCACTTGATTGCAATAGTTGCTTTATTGCGGTCCTCTGGAACCCAGCCCACAATATTTCCAATGTATTCCTGTACAGGAAAATAAAGCAGGGCAAAGGAGTAGAGAGAGGAGGAGCATCCTGATTTTAAATGGGGGTGGGGGCCGTGAAAGGCCCATTTGAAGAGATGGCATTTGAGCAGAGACATGAATAAAGTAAGGGAGGAAACCATGCAAAAATCTGGGAGAAGTGAGTGTCAGGAGGACTGAATAGTACAGCAAAGGTCCTTGAGCAGAAATGGGATTGGTATTTCTAGGAAGAGCAGGAAGAGCAGGAAGGCCAGGCCAGTTGTGTTGGAGGTGGAAGGAGCAAAGGAGATGGTGGTAGTAGGCAAGGTTGGAAAAAGGTAGGCAGGACCGGGTCGTTTGGGGTCTGGTAGACCCAGTGAAAGTTTGCATGTTGCTAAATGAGATGGAATGCAGTTAAAGGATATTGAGCTGGAGAGTGATGGGATATAATTTATAGGATTAAAAAAATACTGTGTTTTTTTTCAGCCAGGTGCTGAATTTAATTTTGCAATAACCATTTCTTTAAGGCTAAATGATGCATTCTGTTTGAGTTAACTGAGTTAGTTATATTCACTTTTGTCATCCACCTGACCTTTTCATTTCTGCAAAGAGGACAATCAGAACAATGTGACTTTCTACCCAAGCACAAAATACTCTAACGTAAGTTGTTGGTCACAGACTTAGTTGTTTAATGGATAAGTAAATACAGTATATACATATCCTCTAGTTATAACAAGAATTTCAGCAGCTTTCAATCTTCTCGTTCACTACTTTGTTCATACTACTCAATAAATGTTTTTAAATACATTGAATTTAATTAAGTAAACACACCAGGCCTCATCTCTGACTTCTTATTTCTGCTTCAAGGACTACTTCATAAGCTTTCCAGAGCTTTAATTTCCATCATGAATTATTAGGCACTGAATAAAGTACATAACACGGCCCTTGCATTTAGCTTATGTGCTATAATTGAATTCAGTCATTTTTCAATAATGTTTATTGAGAATTATTATGTATCAGTCAGTACCCTGGGCCCTGAAGAGTTCCAAGAGTTTTTGCCTTAAGTGTGATTTGAGAAGCCATGTTGTATAGTTGTATGTTTAACAGGAGGGATTCTAGAGCCAGACTGCCTGGGTTCAAATCCTACATTTGCCTCTTAGCAGCCATGTGACCTTGGACAACTTACATTAACCTAACTAGTTTGCCCTGCAAAATGGGGACAAATCATAGTATTTACTTCATACAGGTTTTATACGAATTAAATAAGTTAACATATGTAAAGCCCTTAGAATACTGCCTGCTTGACAATAGGAAGAGCCGTTAGCCATTGATATGGTTAGATGGGAAAGTGGATATTTTATTTAAATAAAATATGAGAATACTAGCTCTGTATACAACTACTCTTGCCTTGTTCTTTTTTGCCATTTTTCTCTAGAGCACTTATCTTCTAACATACTGGACACTTGGCTGGATTTATGATGTCTGTAGGGTCCAGCACAAATAACACCCCTTTTTTATTACAGAATCTTTTATTACAAAATCATAAGCATGCAATTCTCTAACATAACAGTACACACTCAAGTACACCATACGACATTTTAGGTGGAATGTTCAAATTAAAACTATAGATGATCACACCCATATTATGACCCCACCAACCACACTCAAGCAGACCTCACTTCTGCCAGACCCTGTGTGTTATTGTCTTCCACTAGGACGGCGGTTTTCACAGTGTGGTCCTTGGACCACAGCATTAGCATCATCCGGGAACTCGTTAGAAGTGCAGGTTCTTAGGCCCAAAACAGTCATTAATCATTAATTGCTTTAACATACTGTCTCTTGTAACATCCCTCCAGGTGATTTCCAATGCATGCCAAGTTTGAAAGTCTCTGAGCTAGAACATAGCTCTGTATATTCTCCACATCCTTGCCAGCACTTGTTATTTCTTGCTCTTTCTTGTAATAGCCACTCTTAACAGGTGCAAGGTGATCTCATTGTGGTTTTGATCTGCATTTCCCTGGTGTTCAGTAATGTTGAGCATTTTTTCGTATACCTGTTGGCCATCTGTATGTCTTCTTTGGGAAAATGTCTATTCAGATCCTCTGCCCATTTTATAATCAGATTGTCTGGGGTTTTTTGCTGTTGTATGAGTTTTTCAATATTTTTTGGGTATTAACCCCTCATCAGGGGTTAATGATTTGCATATATTTTCTCCCATTTGGTAAGTTGCCGTTTCATTTTGTTGATGGTTTCTTTTGCTCTGCAGAAACTTTTTAGTTTGATGTGGTCCCACTTGTTAATTTTTGCTTTTGTTGCCTTTACATTTGGTATCTTATCCAAAAATCTTTGTTAAGACTGGTGCCAAGACTTGTGTTCTTCTAGGAGTTTTGTTGTCTTATGTTCAAGTCTTTAATCCATTTTGAGTTAATTTTTGTGTGTTGTGTGAGATAGTGGTCCAGTTTCATTCTTCGTATGTGGCTGTCAAGATTTTCCAACACCACTTATTGAAGAGACCATCCTTTCCTGTGAGATAATAGAAAAAATGTATATCGGTCTCTGCCTTTAATTACTGGCACAGAGCTCCTAAAGCCCTTGTAATTTCCTAAATGATAAGAACACTAAGAACATCTTGTTCCAATGTATGGTATTTGACTCCATCCCCGATACAGGGCTCCGAACCCCCTGTACGTTCCTAAGGGATAAGAGCACTAGGAGCATCTTCTGTTCTCATGAGGCAACTCTGGGTAGGCTCCTAGGTGGCTCCTGGGTTGGGGTGGATCACCAGAAAGACCAACCCATGATTAGACGCTTGATATTCAGCCCTGCTCCCCACTTTTCTAGAGAGGGGGAAGGGACTGGAAATGGATTTTAAAATTGATCATGCCTAAGTGAGGAAGCTTCCAATAAATCCCAATAGTATGGGATTCAGAGAGCTTCCACACAGGTGACACATTCACACCAGGAGGGTGATACACCCAGCTCCTTGGGGACAAAAGCTGCTGTGCTCGAGACCCTCTCAGACCTTGCCCTGCATATTTCTTCATCTGGCTGTACATCTGTGTCCTTTACTGTATCATTTAATAAACTGGTAAATCTAAGTAAGTGTTTTCTTGAATTCTGCAAGCTGTTCTAGCAAATTAATTGAACATTAGGAGAGGGTCCTGGGAACCTCCAATCCGTGACCAAACTGGGCAGAAGTTGTGTGTAACCTGAGCATCCACTGCCCGTCATGGATCTGAAGAGGGCAGGGAGAGGCAGTGCTGTGGGGTCTGAGCCCTCAAGCTGTGGAATCTGATCCTGCCTCTGGGTAGTGTCTGAGTGGAGTCGAGCTGTGGGGTGCTCTGGTGGTGCTGCAGTTCTTGGTGGGGGAAGCCCCCACATATTTGGTGGCTAGAAGTGAAGTGTTCCCTGTGAGTAGCGAAGGAGACATACAGGAAAGAAACACGTGGGAGGAAGGACTGGCTTTTTTCCCTATACAGGAGATAAAGACGTAAAGGGTCCATGATATGTACATTTCTCCATTGTATAGTCTTGGCTCCTCATAAATTAATTGACCGTGTATGTGGGCTTCTGGGCTCTCTGTTCTGTTGATTTTTGTGTCTGTTTCATGTCAGTACTGTACTGTTTGACTGCTATCACTTTGTGTACCATAGTCTGAAGTCAGGAAGTATGATGCCTCCAGCTTTATTCGTTCTCAAAATTGCTTTTGCTACTCAAGGTCTTTTGTGGCTCCATACAGATTTCTGGAATGTTTGTTCTATTTCTGTGTACAAGACTTTCACTTCCTAGGTTACATTTCTTCCTGTTTTATTCTTTTTGATGCAGTTGTAAATGTCATTGTTTTCTTAATTTCTTTCTGATACGTTTTTAATGTACAGAAATAAAACAGATTTTTGTATACAGGTGCTCCTCACTTTATGATAGGTGATGTTCCAGTAAATCCATTGTGAGTCAAAAATATAAGTCAAAGTGCATATAATACACCTAACCCACCAAACATTGTAGCCTAGCCTAGTCTACCTTAAATGTGCTCAGAACAGTTATAGTAGCCTACAGCTGGGCAGAATCATCTCGCTGTCAGTGCCCAGAGTCACAAGAGTGTATTGTACTGCATCTCACTAGCCCAAGAAAGGATCAAAATTCAAAAATCAAAGTGCAGTTTCTGAGTGCATATCACTCTCACACCATCAAAAAGTCCAATTGGTAAGTTGAACCATCATAGGTTGGGGACTGTCCGTAGATTTTGGATTCAGCAACTTTACTGAATTTATTTATTCTAACAGTTTCTTGGTGGGGTCTTTAGAGTTTTCTATATATGATATCATGTCATCTGCAAATAGTAACTATTTTACTTCTTCCTGATTTGGATGCCTTTCATTTCTTTTTCTTGCCTAATTGTTCTGGCTAGGACTTCCAGTACTCTGTTGAATAAAAGTGAGAGTGGACATTCATGTCTTCTTCCTGATCGTAGAGAAAAAGCTTTCATCTTTTCACCATTGGATATGATGTTAGCTATGAGCTTGTCTTATGTTTTCTTTATATCCATATTTTAAAGTTCTTATCATAAATGGATGTTGAATTTTTTCAGATGCTTGTTTTGTATCCATTGAGATGATCATGTGATTTTTTAAAATTGATTTGAGAGAAAACATTGATTTGTTGTTCCACTTATTTATGCATTCATTGGTTGCTTCATGTATGTGCCCCAACTGAGGATTGAACCCGCAACCTTGGCATATCAAAAGGACACTGTATGGGCCACCAGGCTGGGGCCTGATCATGAGTTATATATAGTCTTCACTTTGTTAATGTGATTTATCATGATTGATTTGTGGGTGTTAAACCATCAGTGATTGCATTCCTGGAATAAATCCCACTTGATCATGATGTGTGATTCTTTTAATGTATTGTTGATGTCCATTTGCTAGTATTTTGTTGAGGATTTTTGCACCTTTTTCATCAGGGATATTGGCCTGTAATTTTCCCTTGTGTGTCCTTGTCTGGTTTCAGTATCAGTTGAAATGTTCCTTCCTCCTCTGTTATAAGTTATATATTTTATTTTGTTTATTTTGTATCCTAGGCACCTAGAACAGTGCCTAGTACATACTAGGTGTTCCGTAAATATTTGCCGAATGATTGTATAAGTACTGTGGATTGTTAGGAAGAAAATAATACGTGATTGGGTATCGAGAGGACTGTCTTCCACATTTTCATCACTTTTAAAATGGATGTGTACATACCTATTAAAGGATAGCAGACACCATGTGTCCTATTTTAGCAAGTTTATATGACAGTGGCAACTTATTGTTACATGTGCTAATTACTAATCTGTTTAATATTATATTAATATTGTTACAAACAGTTATAGTTTCTAGTCTTAGTTTTGCAGCATCTGAAAAGGTCTCTCTAAATACCTCAGCGCTATAAATTCTTACCCAATTGATACAGTAAGTGCCTGTAGTCATGATTTTTGTAGCACCATAAGGCATTTTTCCACATATCTTACTGAGTGTTCTAAGATTATTGAAAGTTTTTCATTTTAATTCTCTCTCTCTCTCTCTCTCTCTCTCTCTCTATATATATATATATATATATATATATATCCTCATTATTTTGGAAACCAGAAAAAATAATCACTATGGAGGACCTTATGCAGCGGGTTGGTAAATGCCAATTACTCACTGATTACAGAACTTTAATTGTTGCAACACACTTCATAATTATTTAGTGAATTTTATTTTTGCTCTTAGTTCTTCCTTCTTAAGGATTTACTTTAAAAAACAATGATAGTTGCTATTTATTGAACCCTTAATACACCTGGCACTTGCACAGTACTTTTTATGTTTATTATCTCTTATAACCCTTTCAGACTACCCTACAGGTGAGTACTTTTATATTTCCTATTTGCACATTAGAAAATAGGCTTAGAGGGATTTGATGTTTTGAAATTCTAGGTGGTGTAAGATTAGGTAAATCATAGTCTACAAATAGAGGATGTAGGTCTTAAAAATACCACAGTGGGGCGCCAAAAGCAAATTAGTCACAAACTTTAAAGGTCCTGGTGAAACTCAGCTCTAATGGACCAGAATTCTGAATCTGCTAATTCAGACCTCCTGAGAGGAAGAGAGGGTGTCACCCTGTTGAACATCAAGGCACACTTCCTCGAGCTGTCTCTCAGAACTGACTGCTTGTGCTGTGTTCCTTGTCTGGGGCACGGTGCTGCTATCTACCCAGTTTACCAAACGGAATCAGTCTCCAGTGCATAACTCCCATGTGACTGGCTTGGGAAGACGTGAGGCGAACGAATTTTACTCATTGCTAAAGGCTATACCCTTGGGGGCACAAAAATGCCCATTAGTGCTCTGTGATGTACAGAAGCATTGGACTGGGAGTCAGGAGACTTGCATACTCCTCCTGTGAGCCTGGGGCAGGTAGTTTCGCCAGGCTCTAATTCCACAATTGGGAAGTGAGGTTAGACTGGATGGATGATCTCCGAGGTCCATCCCAGCCTAACGTTCTTTGATTCCACAATTCTGCCACTGCAGGGCATAGACACACTGCTGACCCCACTCAGCTGGGTGGGGTTCAGCTCTTTGGGACCTCTAAGTATCTGCCTCCCTGACTACATCATCAGCAGGGATGATTTCCAAGGCTTTAATAACAATCTTAGGGTTACATAAAGGATCCCATGTGGTTGAAGTGAGTATATTTCTTTTAAAAGCATATAATCTGTACAACACTCCTAGGAGAACATAGATCTTATGAAATCAGGTAGAGTGGAGTATTCCAACTCCAGAAAGATTGAGAATAACCGAATCATGTAGAGACGTTAAAAAGTCAAGATTCTGTGGGTTACCTCTTTTCTCCCTGCTCTTATTTTTATGTAGCTCTTTTCTTTGAATCATTCTAGAATTTGTCCCTTGAAAATGCAGATTTTTATATTGTTTAGCAAAAGAAGACTATAGGAAGGGACTTTATAACTGAGTTGTAGAAAAATTAGAGCAAGGAAGGGAATGTGCTTATGTGTAGACTACTACTTCATACTGCCCGGCTTGGGTCAGGAGGGAGTGTGCTGGAGTTTGGACATGGGCCCATTCAGAGGAGTGGTGACACTCAGCACTTTTGAGACAAAATAATATAATCCCCTTCGGTGGAAGTAGCCATTCTTGATTGCAGGCATTATTTCACGGCCAGTGGCTGGAAACACAGCCCACTCAGGGATAATAATGGTGGCTTTGGTGCTTATTTCATCAGATGGTCAAGGTGCACGCCATTTGCCATAGCTGAATTTTCTTTTTCTTTCTCTCTCTCTTTTTTATTTAAACAACAGATCCTGGTTTTTGCAAGTGTTGTGGAGTAAGAAATAGTTCACCTGGATGCCTTGGGTATATTAAAAGGATGTCACATGACAAGGGATGAGGCATAATAAAGAGTTCATTGTCAGGTTTAAGTCAGGTCCCACAGAGATGGGGAATTACCCAAGCTTGCACAGTAGGTCACTCCCGAAGCTGGGTCCAGGACTTAGTCCCCTTTACTCGCCAGCAGTAAACCCTGTACAAAGTTTACCAGGTGGCAGCATGCCGGGACTCCCTTCATCATTTTTTTGCCATGTCTGAGTACCATTTTTACTATTACTTGTTCTCCTTGTATCAACTTGCTTCATGTAAAATACATTTATTGAATACATGAAGTTATTTAAAAGGAGATTTTATATTACTACTTTTAAGAATTTTTATTTACTTTTAGAGAGAGGGGAAAGGAGGGAGAAAGAGAGGGAGAGAAACATCGATCGGTTGCTTCTCGCACACTCCCAAACTGGGGACCTGGCCTGCAACCCGGGCACGTGCCCGGACTGACTAGGAATCGAATCAGCAAACTTCTGACCTTTAGGTCTGTGGAGTGACACAGCCCACTGAGCCTCACCAGTCAGGGCTATATCACTACTTTAAATGGAAGATCTATAGAACCTATGTAAGTGATCAGAAAAAAAAAAAACAGGAAAGGCAAAACAGTGCTGTTTTAGTTAGATGTTAATTGCTTTGAAGCTGAAGCCTCTTCAATTTTTGTTGAAAAGGGGACAATAGTAATTTTTAGGCATTAAAGACTATTAGCACCAAGAGGACATGATAAAAGGATTGAAAGAGAGTCGAAAGGGGAGTGACTTTCTCACTGAGTCAGTTCCATAGTACCACCAGTGGGTATGGCAGAGAGACACGTGCCGTGTCTCCCCCAGTAAGCGGAGTAGGTGGGCTATGAATTTGTTTTGCAAAAAAGCAGTGAATACAGGCTAAATAGAGAAGTGATTCATATTGTGGTTGAAAGTGGAGACCAGGATTTCAGAAACCAGTATTGTTAAACATTCTGATTGATGTCCCTGGTCTCTGTTAGGATTGTGGGGAAAGATTGACAATGCTTAACTTAGACCTGAAGTGTTTCTTAGGGACACTGTTGGCCTTCAGGGCCAGACTATTGTTTCACAGGACAGTCAATACCCATGGATGTTCTGGTTACCTGGGTACTAAATGCCAGTAGCAATACCCCACCCCACCCCACCCCCCACCTTCTCCCAGCCGTTGTAATAACAAGTTCCCATACATTTCTAAGTGCCTTTTAGGAGTGATTAAGCACAGCTACCCCCAACAGGAGAGGAATGGGGAGTGTATTCTACATAGAGGGAATAGGCTCTAAATATGTTAGGAAGCAGGACTGAGCATTTGAAACATCTTATCTTTTCCAGAGGAGAAGAAGAAATTGATCAGAGATTTCGATGAAAAGCAACAGGAAGCCAATGAGACGGTGAGAACAGGGGACAGGTCCTTACTTCTGCTTGGCGTTCATTTTTTACAAAAGTAATGCTGTGATCTGATCACAGGTTAACTCTTCCTGCCTTTTCCCGACTTTGATTATTTCTGACTAAATGAGGCCAATTTAGGGGGGTTGGAGGTGGGGTGGGGGTTAACAAAAACAAATGGATAAAGTTTGAAGCCTCCCCTGAAATGAGGCTTTGATAACACATTCCTGATGTGAGTTGTAAAGGGCATTCTCATATACCTTTACCAGGGTGGTCTTTTAAAGTCTCACTTAAAAGCTGGCTATTTGCATCAGTTAATCTTCTTTCTTAGACTTACTATCACAGAAAATGTCACTCAGAGGTGGCTCTAAGCCACATTCCCTGCTGTTTTAAAATACAGCGTAGTGGCTGGATCTATATTTTGACATGTGCGGGCAGGATGAGTTCCCACACAGAACCCAGAACCCAAAACTGGCAGAAGTTGGTTCAGGTTGCTGAGCATAATCTGTGGCAAAAACAAAACAGACAAAAAACCTGCCTTTACCTGTTAGCAAAGCCCTACTGCGTCTATTCATTATGCTCTAGCTTCAGCAAACCCTTCAGGAGTTTGGGGCTAAAATCCAGCTCTCTCGTAGTACTGTAGAAAAGTACTTGGCCTTAGTTTTTACTTCCCCGGCATAGATTAAGAAGAAAAATTCTTTTTAAACCAGAGAAGTTCCTTCCTGCGTGTTGAAGGACAACTTGCCTATTCCGGTGAAGTTCTGGGAAATTAAGATTCTCTGCATCCTTTCCTCTGGTGTAATCAATTTTAAGAAGGACCAGACCACTGGACTGCAGAAACTATCTGCTTCATGATGGCAACACTAGGAACTTCTTAGTACCTGTGTACAGCTGGGATACCCATGATACTTGTTACAGACCAGTCTTCTTTTTTGGTTAACATCTTAGTAGCATCTTTAAAATCTTTCAGCTAATACCTGTTTGGTGCTTACCTTCTTTCTCTGAAGTTAGCAAAAGTAACCAGTCCTACTCCGCCCATCCTAGGCAGATGAAAATAATTTATGGCCTCTTGTGAACCTGTTCAGGTTTCATATTTTACTTATCCCAGACAAATGGAAATCTGACTTGGAGACAATTGATTTTCAGAAAGAGAATCTTGATGCCAGATCCTTACCATTTGAATACAGTAGACCTGAAAGTACTTCCTTGAACCATAACAGGCTAAGAACTTGGTATACTGAAAAGGGAATTCAAAGATATGGAATCCTAATTTCTCTTGTTGTATAATCTTGAGCAGTTCCCATCAAGTCTTATGTATGAAAAAGAAATAGTATTTCCTGCCTTGTTGATTTGCTGTGAGGATTAAATTAATGCTATAAAAATTTAATAAGCTATAAGGTAACTAGTTTTTTCACCCATTCATCACATACCTTCTGAATGCCTGTTGTATGCTTGGTAGGCACTGTGCAGACATCCAGGCAGTGGAGTGAACATGTTACATGTGGGCCTGCCTTTTTGTGAAGCACGTGGTTGAGTAGTATTCGGGGTCGTCTGTGGTTTAATTAGTCCAACCACATATGGCTGGACTATGCCCAGATGAGACAGAAAAGAACCAGGCCATCTACTCACTGTTTTCATCTTCCCAGCTGGCAGAGATGGAAGAGGAACTGCGATATGCACCTCTGTCTTTCCGTAACCCTATGATGTCTAAGCTTCGAACCTACAGGAAGGACCTTGCCAAACTCCACCGGGAAGTGAGAAGCACCCCTCTGACAGCCACGCCTGGGGGCCGAGGAGACATGAAGTACGGCACGTACGCTGTAGAGAATGAGCACATGGTAAGCGTTGGCTGTTCCCCCTTTGGGGCCTGTAGTATAAGAATTAACCACGCCGAGGAGTATGCAGTTCGCGTTACAGCGTATACCACACTCTTGTTTTTCCCGCCTTGTCCCCTTTTCCTGCATCCAGTTCCCTTCTCCCCTTGGATATTTGCTGTTTTGTTCGTTTGTTTTTCAAATGATGAGAAAGTTTAGAAAGTTACAGAGGTGCTAGAAGTGAGCCAGCTGGGCTGTGGAGGCTCGGGAAACAAGTTACAGAGGCAGAAGCAGGGCCCTTGGAGCTGAGGAGAGGGGGGAGGGAGAGGCATGGGCATGGTCCCGAGAAGGGGAGCGCTGGACCATTTAACCCCCTTCTGGTTTAAATGCAGGTCTTCCCAAACCATAGTTTGCTTACATTTTTTGTGTCCTTTACATACAAAGCAGTGCTTAGTGTGTAGTGGCGGTATACAGGTGCTAGCTGATCTCACTGTATCTGAATTCTGTGTTCTCACCCACTGATCCAGTTTCCTTCCCACATGTGCCCAAAAAATTCAGTTAGGGTTTTAACTTGTCGGTGTTGTTGCAAAATTAACCCAAGCTTTCTTTTTCATTTATATCAAGGTGGCCCAGCAGCCCAGATCCAGTAGAGAAGGCCAGGTACTTCCTAAGAAGGGGCTAATGCCTTGTGCTGTTGTAATAGAAAGTGAGCCACAGGTTGCTTCTCCAGCCTCCAGTAGTCTGATTTATAGTTAGACTGACTGGATCGAAAATCTATACTCTGAAACTATCTAGAGAAGCTAGAGAATTAAAGAAATAAAACTTCAGAAAACTTAAATTGAATACATTGCATTTGGGATTTTATCCCGTAGTACAGAGTAGAAATGGCCTGGCAAGTCGTGTGAGAGAGCAATGGAAGCACAGACTCCACATATGTGGAGGGCGGGTGGGACCATGCTAAATAAACAGATCCCGTTTCATGACACATCCCGACCATAGTGGGAGAGACAGTCAAATGCTGCTGGCCTGGCACCGCTGATGTCAGAACCAGAGTGTGTGAGACTGATGTGGAGTTTTCATTCACTTGTGAAGGGAGGGACTGTGGGGGGGAAAAAGCAGGCAGGTGGAGCCTGTTAAAATGAGAGGTGTAAAGTGCTCTGGTCATTTATTTCCTCCCCCAAAAGACCCAAACAACAAAAGGGGGAATAAGTCCAAGGAATAGTTTTGCTTTAAAATTATTGGTTTAAGCCCTGGCTGGTGTGGCTCAGTGGATAGAGTGCCAGCCTGTGGGCCAAAAGGTTGCTGGTTCGATTCCCAGTCAGGGCACATGCCTGGGTTGCAGGCCAAGCCCCTAGTTGGGGGCACATGAGAGGCAACCACACAGTGATGTTTCCCTCTTCTCTTCTCTCTCTAAAAATAAATAGATAAAAATCTTTTAAAAAATAAAATCATTAGTTTCAGAAGTTACAAAAACAATTTAAATACATATACCACTTTTAGTAGAATTAATTGTTATAAATCCGGGGTTGATTTATGTGCTCTTACCATTTTTTTCTTATTCTTTCTCAACCTGATCAGTTGAAAAATCCCATCTTTTATTTTTAAAAAGCCTTATCCCTGCTTCTTTTAAGCGGTAACTGGAGTGTGAGTCAGCTTTACTAGCGGTTTCCTTATCCACTGGTCTCTGTACCATACACGTAGACTTGTTACTTCTGATCTGGGACCCGTTCTCGGCTTGATGGTGGTGTCCAGTGCTTCGTCATAGGCCCTGCGAACTGCCCCTGGCGCTTGTGTGCGTGTATGTGTGTCTGTCTGCTTCAAATAGCTGAGACTTCAGAGTGGCACCCGTTTCTGTCAGTGGTGAATTCTGGCCTGACAAAGGCCACTTCTGTCCTCATGTCTTCTCGACTCAGGATTACAGGTGGATTGAAACTTGGTGGGCATTTAGAAAATTGGGGCAGCTAGAGCACCTTACTGGCCCCAATACCTCCTTCCCTGAGAGCAGATCACCAGTGTGGCAGCTTCAGAAGTTTTATTTCCTTTTGGGCCTGAAGTGAAACTCTTTTGGGGCTTACCAATAGTGTGGCCACTTTTTTCCAGAATGTGGCAGTGTCGCGCCCAGACTTCTAATTGATTTCTGCGTGTACTGAAAATGAGCTTATTCATGGTCCCTCAGTCCCAGTCAGGTAGGAATCTTCAGTGAATCAGTCTGTCCTAGGGCTGTAGAGTCTAGTTGGTTTGTTGCTGCCCATCCAAGTTACAGGCTGTATGCATTTTCAGGTAGCTCCTGCACCCCAGAACCGGGCCACTGCCTTTCAGAAGTTGCTAGTCTGGCAAGCACATAAACAGTCCAAATTCATTACAAATACAGGAGAATGCTCTGATATTTTTAATCCTTTTTACCTTGCTTTAAGGTAACAAGCAGTAGAGTGGGAAGTATTGTGAATCCTATAATGAATTTCAAGTTCTGCTTTAGTGTGACCTTAAATAGGATCTTATAGTTCATTAGCATCTTTTGTTATCTTAAAATAATGAAAATTCTTGCACCCTAAATCCCTTCTTCCATAAGAGTGGTGGAAAGGATTGTGCTGACAAAGAATATGGAAGAAGTCTAACATTCCCCTTTCATAACCCTGTCAGAATCAGCTGCAGTCTCAACGGGTGTTGCTTTTGCAAGGCACTGAGAGCCTGAACCGGGCCACCCAGAGTATTGAGCGCTCTCATCGAATTGCCACAGAGACTGACCAGATTGGCTCAGAAATTATAGAAGAGCTGGGGGAGCAACGTGAGCAGTTGGAACGCACCAAGAACAGAGTAAGTCTGGGCAGGCGGGGACAGGGACAGGGACGAGAGCGGCCAGGCAGGTGGGCCTTGTGACAGCAGTTCTGGCATCGGCGTATATGGCCTGTTCGGTTTTTACAAAGCTTTTCTGTTTTTAGTTTGCATAGCTGAGAGATTTCCTTTGGAATAATTTTACCCCTAAGATTTAGAGATCATTGGAAGAGGGAGAAAGATTGAAGAAACTCGATTTCTGCATTTATTAAAGATTGTCAAATAAACATAAAATTGTAGCCACTCCATCCTTTTATTCCTGTATTACCAGTCTGAGATTTGTATTCCTTTTATATATAGTGGAACATTCTGCTATCCTTACGAAAGCATCATCTACTGAAAAGGCCCTAGCTTTCCTGTCATTTAGAGACAGGGGGATTTTCATGTGTCATAAAATAGCACCACTGACCATCTATAGAGGTTCAATCCTGGAGTGTCACTCTTTACTGTTACTGAAGATAAGCTGGTCATTGTGGGAAGAAAATGGAAATAGGGCCATGATGGCTCTGTCGGGGCCTGTAATCTGTCATTTTAAGAGGCTCTGAAAAAAACTTATTCCTTCTTTTCCGTACACCTGCGTAGAAATTTTGAAAATAGTACAACTTGCCAATGGAATGCTGTGTTCTTAATAGCAAACCCAGACTGAAAAACAGGTACTGCGGGCAAGACTTGAGAGAATACTAGTTCAGTGTGGGAGTTTGGGATGGTTTCCCCTCATCTTAATAGCTGTAATTCTCCATTCTTAAAGTAAATCAGAATGATGCCCTTCTTTCAGTAAAAATTCACAACAAAGCACTGAATTTAAGGTAAACCACAGAGAAGTCAGTTTACAGATTGTTTGGTTTCTGACTTTTGAACATGAGGTGGATTGGCTGAATTTAAAAGCCAGGAATAATCCGAGAGATCAATTTACCGGGGCTGCCTGGGATTGGGAGCAGATGGCAGGGTCTGTCAGACACACCCTCCAGCTATCGAGATTAGCAAACAAGCAGTCAAACGAGACAGGTCCAAAAAAAAAAAAAAAAAGGCTTTAAAAAGATTAATTCCATTCACAATTCAATGTAAGCATCTCTTAAAGTAGTAAAGAAAAAAAATAACTGTATCTCAAGAGTGGTAATCCACCCGTCTACAAAAACAAACTGTAATTCAAGAGGCTGTCCTGGAGTTGGGCTGATGAAATTCAATTCTGAAGTTGCTTCAATGTTACTGGCAGGGTGCCCTTGAAGCTTTTCTGTTTCAGTAGCTAAGGACTAGCTCTGTCTGTCCCAGAAGTCCCTCAGCACAGGCTGGGGATATGATAATTCCTAAGCCTACTTGACAAGTACTAAAGTAACTTGTTCTCTCCAGTCCCTTCTAATTATACTCTGAGACCACAATTTGAATTGGTTTGATTTCAACATATACCCCTAATGCCCACTGTCATTTTAGGAATGTTCAAATTCTGGAGTGTGTACTTTGAAAGAAGGGGCAAATGATTGCTATTTTCTCTTCTCAGCTGGTAAACACAAGTGAAAACCTGAGCAAAAGTCGAAAGATTCTCCGGTCAATGTCCAGAAAGTAAGTTTTAAAAATAGTCACAAAATTAATTTCTCTTTAACACTAATATCTTTCAACCAAGAATGTCAAAGCTTTAATTGTGACGTACAAAGATCCTAATAAAGCTGAAGAACTAAAGGATACTGTCTTCTGTAAGACAAAAATCTTTTGTTAAAAGTACATACTGCGCTGACTTGGAGCGGTGTAGTAAAATTTGTCCACTGGAAGCAATTTCACTTCCAGCTTACATTCCTTGAGGAAGGCAGCACACGGGAGTGATAGAGTTTCTCATTTGTAAAAGCATGAGTGGAAAACTTCTCACCATTACTGCTTAGTACTTCCTTTGGGCTCTGCTTGCTCTTCATGGGAGTCAACCCATTACCTGCGAAGAAGTTAACTCTAAACGCCCCCCCAAAACCCCTTGATTTAAGTGATGACAGCAACAAAATCAGGGGCAAAAGGCGGAAGCGTTGGCACTGAGGACGAATTTGGGGTAAGTGGTAGTGTGCATGGAACAAAACCACAGCTGAGCCACAGAACTAGCAGGAGAGTGAGATTTCCCGACACAGCAGTACATTCCTTGTGGAATAGGGGGAAACCTGGGGTTTAGAGGGAACATGAGAACCACAGAGGGGATTCTTTTTTATTCGCAAAAGACAGTAAATTTTTTGTGAAGCTCCCATGTTACCTTTGTAGAGCTATCCTTTTGGGTTCATGGGGGAAGAGAGAGCACGAGAGGCACTACCCAACTTGTGGTCACTCAGGATCCATCCCTGAGCTGGACGTCAGCACTGGCGGGTCCGCCGCCAACACGTCTCCCAGCACGTGCTCCCAGCTGCCGTGCGTAACTGATGCAGCTCTGCATGGTATCGAGTAGTTACTGCTTTGTAGTTTTGATATAGGATTCATCCTGCTTCCAGGAAATGATATCTTTTTTTTCACATTATATTTAATAGTATTTTTTTCTAACCAGACCCTCCTAGAAAAGCTAGTTTTAAACTAAGGAAGTAGCTACTATTTGAAGACATTTTAAAACAAAATTAAAAAAAAAAATTTTATCCTTATGGTGTATATTTCTGTAATGTAGATAGTGTTTTCCCTGTTAACAGCTAAACAATTTTATGCAGGCATACTTTTAATTAATATGCTTTGCAAGTACGGCTTTTTTACAGATTGAAGGTTTGTGTCAGGCAATCTGTCAGTGCCTTTTTCCAGTAAGCTCAGAGGATGGTTAGCATTTTTAGCAACAGAGTGTTTTTAAATTGAGGTATGCATTTTTTTTTTGACATAACGCTATTGCATACTTAATAGACTACAGTCTACTGTAAACATAACTTACATGTAATAGGGCACAAAAAAATTCACATGACTGGCTTTGTTGCTCTATTGCATTATCGCAGTCATCTGGAACCAAACCCGCAGTATCTCTGAGGTCTGCCTGTATATACTTTACGCTGAGTGGCCATAAGGCCAAACAGAAATTCAGTCTTCCTCACATCACCTAGTCTTGTCCCTAAGTCAGACCTCTGCGTCAAGAGTGGAAAGAGATAAGGTCGTCCAGACTTGATTGCTCACTTTGCTTCTCTTTGTAGAGTGACAACCAACAAGCTACTACTTTCCATCGTCATCTTACTGGAGCTGGCCATCCTGGGAGGCTTGGTTTATTACAAATTCTTTCGGAAGCATTGAACTTCCTGCAAGGAAGGCTTTGTGGACCAGAACTTTGAGCTTGTGAATGAATGGTGGTAAAGATGTGGAGTAAGCATATTGCTGCTGTGAGCTAACAGTTCAAGGATGCACTGTGTAGCCAGACTGTGGGACGAGGGAGGGAAGACGGACAGCCAGTTAAATGTGAAGGAACTGCAACGAAACCAGTGTGATATACCAAGGTAATAAATGCTGTTTATGATTTCTTTAAATTTACATGATTCTTCAACATGTTAATACCTTGTGAACTGCAAAAAATCAAATACGTTTACAGTATAATTATTGGTCACCAAAATGGAGGAGGAAACTTTGTGAGACTATGCAAATGTTCTCATTAAGGCAGTATTGACCCAGATGACCATGTAGTCTCTGTCCCCTCAAACACCGCATAACTCCAATGCCCGACGTGACAGACGCGTGCCAGCATACAGTGCTTTCTAAATCCTCACACGTTCTTCACTTTCTGATTCGTGCGGGGAACTGGGAGTAGGCAGTTGGTCGTAGACGTTGTGCCCGCCCTCCCTCGTCTGCCCGAAACTCGAAGCAATCACGTCCACTGCCAGGCCAGCTGTGGCCTTGGCTTCCTCCTCGGACGCAGCCAGACGAGGATTGACCTCCACGAGATCCAGCGCTGAGAGCAGCCCTGCAGGAACGAAGTGTGACAAAGCCCCAGGAAAGTCCTGGCTGCTGCTTGCAGTGAGGGCAGAGTAAGCCAAGGTTTAAAAAACAGAGTCATTTCTACTGTAAAATTAACCATTGTCAGTGTCAGGAAGCCCCTTACACTTCATCTTCTTGGGCATGAATTTATTAAAACACTGCTATATTAGAGTAGGACTAAAAGAAACCTTTAAGGTAATAAAATCAATCATCCCCGTTCAAGTAACATACAAGGCACAGCTGTCAGGCTTTCTGGAGAGAATAAAAAATGAGCCCGAGGGTTGGTGGGGAAAGGAGTTGCTAACCTGCTTGTTGGGAAAATACGTGCATTTCCAGTATTAAGGAACCTTCCAGATGCCTGCCTGCATGTAGCTGTGTGAAGGGAACTCCCACTTCTCACTTGCCAGAACTCTGTTCCCACTTTCAAACTCTGGCACTGTATCTGCATCTCCTGAAGCACCACGTGCCCTGAAGTCTAGTTACAACTGCATGTCTTACTGTCACCCGTGCAGGTCCAAGCCCTGTGAGTGGTTCCACGGCTGACACTGTTTTTAGGTCTCCCATCAGAATGACTTAGTATCTTGTATTTGGTCAAGGGAAGACCTGGCCGTACTTTAATTTGGACTCCAGTTACCATCTCTGAGGGTTTGAGCAGGGAAGATTAGACCGAAAGAACCTATCCAGACCTGCCTTCTCTCTCTCCCAACCCCTGCTCCCTACCTCTCTGGGGTAGTGAACTTTTTAGGTGGTTATCCTGAGTGAAGTTAATCTACCTCTTCAAGAGTTATGTGAACAAACTAGTTTGAGAATACAAGGCTGTATTCTCAAGGCTGCATCTGAGAACATTTAGGGTGGCCATAAAGCCTGGACACATGGGGGAAGGAACTATATATACCTAGTAGTTTATTGATATTGCATCACAGTACATGGCATGCTCATTGCCACTACATCTGTTCCGTGTGCTATCATTAGTGCATATAGTTCAAACGCACTGTGCAAAATGTGAACAGGCACATTACTGTGACATTTCCAGCAATTCCTGCACATGCCATCTGCGTCTGATAATTTGGGTGTCTGAATTCCACTGACAAACGCTGGGCCTTTGGCATAGCTTAGAAGTAATCAAGAAGGTTTGAGCTATTTAAAATATATATTACTCGTGTTTCCAGATTATCGCCACCCTATAAAAAATTAGTTTAAACAAACTATTGGTTCAACAATCTACTTGACAGTGTCGTGATAGACAGTCTTATAGAACAGAGTAATATTACAGCAAGAGAAGGGGACAAGGTGTGACCACGGCTCCATCTAAGGCCAGAGGTTTCTAACCCCTGGTCCCAGTGGTGCTGCTGGGAGCCAGAATGGAGGGTTGAACTCCCAGGTTCACTGGCCACTAGCCCAAGGGCAGTTAACCAACATCCGAGACTGCGAGTCCAAGGATGAGACTGCTTGGCCACTGTCAGATCTGATAGACGAGCGTCCTTCCCTTTCTGTAGTGCCCAGGAGTGCAGTCGGTTCCAGAGCCAGAAAACCAGTCTTCAGTTTTCATATCTGTCCTAAATATTCGAGTTTCCTGTAGCCCTGGGCCTCTCAGTCTGGGGTCTCTGTGCTAAAAGACCCTAATCTCATGAGATGGTATTGAGGTATCTATCATGTGGTAGTTTAAATTTTATAATTAGAGATCAATTAAAGTAACCTTAAAACCAGAAGTATTCTGATAGAAATGGAAACTGTTTGCAAGCAAGTGTGAGTTTAGGGACAGTAACCCCTTGGTAGCCACTCTGGATAATCAATCTAAAACACTCATAAATCTTCCTGTCAGCCTTTCATTTAAATCTCCTATTAACGAGCTCCAGTGTAAGTTTATCCCACACGAAAGGACCCAAGGTGTAATTACAGCATCGAAATAGCTTCACGAGAAGCTCTTAGTTCCACCTTCCCAACTCCCAGTCAGCCAACCTCTTAATTTCAAGTAAAAACCACAGCTGGCCTTGCCTTTTACTCTTAATCTGCTTTTAGACAGTTCAGATGCAAAGAACATTAGTTTGGCAGATTATTCTTGTACTTAATAAGTGTTTGAGAAGACATAAACAACTTTTTATTCAATATCACCTTATCATATTTTGGTACGAGATCCAAACATGCCTCTAAGTGACTGTCCTTTACTAGTCTGACCACATGACTTTTAGCTGTAACAAGTTTAAACAAAAACAGTGTCTACAATGACATGGTAGAAAAAGCCCCCTGGCAGACAGGAGGCTTCAGCATATTTACTTATGCTGTAAACACATTGTCACTACTTACCTGTATTGTGTATTTCCTCAGTAATATACATGCCTTCTCGATAGGTCAGTCCCCCTGCAACAGGGGTTCCTGTGGCTGGAGCCAGTGTCGGGTCAAATGCATCGATGTCAAAACTCAGATGGATTGGCCTTTGTCGTCTTGCAAGGAGAAGGATAAGAGAATAGTCATTTGGTTGTGCCTGAACCTTCATGCTTCCTACAGATGTAATTCTTCGATTTTGTTGCTGTTAGTTTTGGTACTTTGTTAGTACAGCGGATTTCCAGGTTTCCCAAGTTACTGAGTATTTGCATTTAGCTTTTACACACCATTTCATAATTTTGCCATTTATTCTGTGCCTTAGTCTAATTCCAGTTTATATTTCTGACTTACCCTGAGCATTAAGGCCTCTCATTTCCTATGACCTTGGGCTCTGATAGACTCTAACTTCATCTGCTAATTACAGTTGCTTTTATTCCTCAGACTGTAACAGCAGCTGAACTCCGATTTTATGTCTACAACCCTACCATCTCCCAGTTCTAATTTCAGTTTAGCCTGGTGTTCAGTGGCTGAAACTAACATACAATACCTACAGTATTTTTCAGACTGTAAAATGCAGCATCTTCCCCCAAATTTGGGAGGAAAATGCGGGTGCATCTTAGAGTCCAAATGTAGCGTACCTGGCTGGCTGTGAGGGGCGGGGGTGGTGAAGTGGGGTCACAGGCTATTAATTATTTTACCACGTTTTTTGCTTCAAAAAATTTCTTTTCTACTTTCCTCCTCTAAAACCTAGGTGTGTCTTATGGTCCAGTGCATCTTATAGTCCTAAAAATACGGTATATGCTAAATAACTAAATTTTTAACAGGTGGCAATTAATTACATTGGTCATCCAGAAATACAGACTCGACCCTGGGAAAATGCTCTTAAAACTAGCATTTGTTGCCGTTTGATTCCCAGTCAGGGCACATTCATGGGTTGCAGGCTAGTTCCCAGCAAGGGGTGCACCAGAAGCAACCATACATTGATATTTCTCTCCCTCTCTCCTTCCCTTCCCCTCTAAAGATAAATAAATAAAATCTAAAAAAAAAACACCAAAAACTAGCATTTGATTAGCATTCATCTGCCATCTTTATCTACTACGAAGTTTTGCTTAATATAGAACTGCAGTCTGCTTCCAGATGAAGAAATAGTGAGGCTCGGAAGAATGGGACAGTTGGAACAATGGATGCATCTCATCTCAAAAGACAAACATTAAAAATGGAGCCAAAGAGCCCTGGCTGGTGTAGCTCAGTGGATTGAGCCCGGGCCTGCAAACCAAAGGATCATGGTTCAATTCCCACTCAGGGCACATGCCTGGGTTGCAGGCCAGTTCCCGCGGGGGACACACGAGAAGCAACCATACATTGATGTTTCTCTCTCCTTCTTTTCCCCTCTAAAGATAAATAAATAAAATCTTTTTTAAAAATGGAACTAAAGAAAAACTTGTGCAAGAGGGAGGATCTGGGCAATGAATTTCAGGAAACTCCCTCCCAATCCAAGGAAGAATAGGACTTACTTAATATGTTTTATATTCTCCCTTTCTAAATTATTTGAATTTTTAATTTGTACATTTTGCTTTTAATTAAAAGAAAAGCCGCTGTCCTCAAGAGAAAAGCTAAAGTATGCTGCCCACCGGGAGCTGCTTTATTCCCTGGGGACCTAGACATATATCTAGGTTATATCTAGGTTTATCTAGGTTATAGTCACTTACTTGCCAATCAGCAGATCAAATGTCTGTTCCATGACCTTCTGGATACCAAGTCTGTCTATGTCTCTCATAGAAAAATACTGGATATCATAATTCTTTAAAATAAAGCTGTGATGAGATATAAAGGAATTCTTAAATAGCATTTTAAATCAAATGCACATATACAGAGGGTATTGACTTTATAGTGATCTTCAACAAATTAAGGCAAGGAACAGCCTGTAAAATGGAACATAAGTGGCTGGGATAGGCCCAAAGTGTAACCCTTCATGTCAACTTACTGTTCAGGAGGGTCCACATCTCTTAGACCAATATACACAATACTTGGGGAAGAGATACAAGGTTTGATCCAGGAGAATCCTGGGAGCTGTGGTACCTGTGGAGAGAGGAATGAGCAGGATCCATCAGGGATTGTTGGTCTCATCAAGACGGTCACTGTGTGCTTCCGCTTGTACGCAGTCTGCTTTCTCCCCCCCCCCCCCACAGGGTGCGCTCAGTGCAACAGCACACGCTTGATCTGGAAAGAACTGGTACGAGGGGAGTGGAGTTGGTTCAGAGAGGCAGCTGAGGAACACAGCAGAGCTTTCTCGAGAAGAATTAAAAAAATAAGCCACACCCCCTAAAGTGGTCTTGGATTCTCATTCTCACCCAAACAGCAGGAGCACTGCTGACTGGCCCTTCTGCAGCACTGACTTACTTACAGATGGTTCTCGAAACAGCCCAGCTGTCATCCAGGTTGCTGACAGCCAGGACATGCCTTCTGCCTAGTGAGTGGCCTTCTTTGTTCCTGGTTTAACTTGGCCCCTTACTGAGGGGAGGAGTAAACGGACTAGCCTATGCCTAGGCTCCCATGTCTTTTGAACAGCCTAGAAAAATAGAGGTAATCATGATTTTACTTGGACTCTAGACCAGGGGTGTCAACCTCATTTTCACCGGGGGCCACATCAGCCTCTCAGTTGCCTTCAGAGGGCCAAATGTAACTTTAGGACTGTATACAGGTAAACTACGCCTTAACAGTTAAGCGAGAGCTCGGTGTTGCCACCAGGTAGAAACAAGGTGCAGGGCTGGATAAAACAAGGTGGAGGGACGGGTTCAGCCTGGGAGCATGTAACCCGTCCTCAGTCTGTAGGTATGTCATTCACTGGAGTCACCTAGTACCACTTGCCTCTCCTTAGACAATGATGAACCCCCTGGGAGCAGGGAGAACCTTTCTGTCCCTCCCATCTGACAGACTGCCTGGCCCATAATAATGGTTGATGAACAAATGGAGTGGAAAGCATTTCTACCACCGGCAACCCATCCTTCACAGAAATCTTACCGACCTAGACCCTCAGAGGGGCCCTGCAAGCCATTTGACTTTCTTGTCATTTTGGCCTACTGACCTTGTCCTGTAGTTCTCTGAGGAGAAATGAAACCGGCTGTCCGTGCAGACATCCAGATGAAGTGGTGAGGGGGGTGTTGATGTCCGCGTGGGCATCCACCCAGATCACACAGAGGTCTGGGCAGTGCCGGGCGTGGCCGCTGATGGTACCGATTGCCAGGCTGTCAAGACAAAATATACTTGACCCTGAACAACATGGTGTGAATTGCATGGGGCTACTTACACATGGATTTTTCTTCGATAAGTATGTTCAACCCACAGTTTGAAGTCTGTGGGTGCAGAGGGCCGACTGTACACATTGATCTGTGCCATTTTCCGATAAGGGACTGGAGCATGTACTGATGTGGTATCTGCATGAGGGTCTCAGAACCAGTCCCTTGTGGATACCAAGGGACAGCTGAAGTTTTTGATGAGTCAAAAGCTATACTTGGATTTTCAACTGTTTAGGGAGGTTGGTGCCCTTAACCCCTGAGTTGTTTAAGGGTCAGCTGTACAAGAATTTCCAAGGGCCTCTGCTTGGAAAACATCACCAATAACAAATATCTTCAGCCAGTGCAACTCATACTTTGCCCTCAGGGCAAAGTCAGGGCCCCAGACTAAGGTGGATTTGAAGGAGGCAGAATCCCTGCAGTTCCAAAGGATAACCTTCAGTGAGTGAGGGAGAAATGGAAGGCTCTCAAGGGTCAAAGCTGACCACTGGCAGTCTCTTCACTGTCACAGACGTCATGACTGCCCACAAATCCCTAAAATCTGGTCCATTAGCGCTGGCCCAGAAAAGGACCTTAAATTTATTTGTTCAAGAATGAAATCCAGTTAAAGAATATGGTCCATATGTAACAACTCACAAGTATTGCTTAATACCTCTTCAGGGAAGCCAGGGAGATCTAATCACTTTTAAAGAATTAGTTGCATTAACTCTTTAAGGATAAAAATCAACCTTATAGCTTTTTAAAAATATGTACTTTCTAAAAGGAAAAGTCAAAATTGTTAAGTCTTTAACAAGTCTTTAAAGTAACAGGGCAACCCAATTAAAGATCTCATTTAGAACATTGAATAAAATAGAAGTTTGTTTGCATGTTATATACATTAGCATGACATTGAAATATTGGTTTTTTTGTCTTTCCTTGACCTTGGTCTCTGCTCACTTGGTCAGCTCTCCTGTCTTGATGGTAGGAATATGGCTGAGGAAATAGTGGTTGAAACGCTGTCCAGCTTCCCAGTAACTGAAGAATCGGACACAGATGGGAAATGTAGCTTAAGCATCTCAGGAACTGGCTGTATAGCCATCCTTGGTCAACAGTACAGCATGAGACAGCATTTTAAGCTGCATGCTCCACATATAACTATTTTGAGGGACAACAGGGTCTAGTGCTAAAAGCATCGGATTAAGTCAGAATGCTGTCCCCACCCAGCCCCCTCCCCGCCCCATGTCGCCCCCAGAAGAGCTGTGTGATCTAGGATAAGTCATCTAACTTCTCTAGACTTGTTTCCTTTTCTACACAATAAGGATGATAATCTCAACCTGTTCAAGTGAAAGCTGGTTTGATGATTAAGGCGATAACGGTATGTTATACCATGTAAAAGGAGCAGAGTCACCTAAAAATGCCTCTTTCTTTAAAATGTTCAATAGCTATTCAGGTTTCACACTCATCTCTTCCTGTCTAGAATCTTCCTAGATAGCCCAGGTTTTAGCACTGGGGAAACTGGGAGCAGTGACAGGGCTGCAGTATAGATAGCTCCAGATCAAAGGAAAACCAAGGAATACGATAGTCACATTGATAAGCGGTCCCCACATAGGGAGACAGTGAGAAGAAGGACAATATAAATGGCCTTCGAGAGCAAGCACTGAGCACAGGAGACCCACACTGTGGTTGAATCTTAGTAGAAAACCTGGGAATCCTTCCTAATTCTACCTAAAATTTTGTTCTTGAGGAATCTACCTGCCTTTCCACTTACAACAAAGATGTAACTTCTGTTAAATGATCTGAAAAATTCTCTAAGCACTTTAAGGAAAATTGCTAGATTGGATCTCAAGAGAAAAGTAAATTGCCTATAAAAGTCACATTGGATTTGAATCCCAGCTCTGCACCTCGGGTAAGGTATCTAAACTCTGACCCTTGATGTCTCATGTCATTAGCACTGGTGTATTTGTCTCATGTCATTAACATGATGATTAACTGAAAATACACATGAAGCACTCAATACTCCTAGTACTCAAATGCTGTTTTTTTCCCCCCTAACAAAAACCATTGCTTAGCTCAAATTATACTCCCCTGTGAAATCTGACTATGCTAGCCCAGACTGATTTCTGAAATTCTGTAGAATGTTCTCATTCCACATGTATTTATTTCATCCAGACCCAACAGATCACAAGTTTCCCTCAATCCTTAGTGCCCCTTGAGAACACACCGGAGCAGTGCTGCGTAAAGAACATTCCGATTCGTGGAGAGAGGAAGGCTGTACTGCTCAGTCACCTAGGGCAGTTACTGTGGAGGTAGAGAATGTATTCTTATCCAAGTGGGGCATTTGGGACAAGCCTATTAGCAGAACTACTTAAATAAAAAATTTAAAAAAAAAAAGCGCCCAGTCCAGCCTATTGATGGATCCTTCCAATTCTCCCAATAGCCAAATGAAAATCATGACAGTTTCTCAAGAAAGAGTTCCAAGAGGTAAGCATGAAACCGTACTGTGTGTCTAAAAACTTTGCATAGTCTTCCTCTGAACTTGTCCTCCTATACAATGTGTCCTAACAAGACCACCTGTGCCTCCAGCAGCTCACAATCTTAGACATCAAAATGCTTTTATGCACACTGTTGACCTTAAACAAAAAGCCAGCTTTTTCTCCAGGAAGATGGGTTTTTTTCCGGGATCAAGAGCATTGTAACCCAGAACATGCAAGCATGGTGGGCCAAATGCACATCCACTAAAAGAAAGGAGAAGAAATTCTATCGAGGGGAAGAGAAGTTGGGAGGGCTGTTACACAGTTCCTCCTGCTGTACTTCGAGATCAACTGACAGGGCATGTGAGTCTCTTCCCCTGGCCTCCCTACTTCACTTTAAATGAGGTTTCTGTTTATGAATTTTTTTCATCACACCCTAAAAACTCTGAAGGGTGTTTTACTCAGGAAACAGACCAGCTGACTGATGAGCCCAAGGTATCATGCATTCTAGATCACCAGCACCCCAGCTCCCAGCTTACCTGTGGTCCCCTCCCACGGTGACACAGCTGTAGCCGCCCGACACTGCTCTGCTCACCACCTCAGCCAGTTCCTGGTTGGCGAGGCCCACGGAGCGAGGATTCACTATCAAGTTGTTGTAGAGATCGTCTTTGGGGACTGGAGTGAAACTTAAATCTCCAAAGTCTTTTAGGCGGCAGCCTGGAAAAAGCACGGAATGGTAAGATTAACTGGAAATGTTATTCCAACTTTTACTGGCCTGGGCCACCAACAAAAACTGTGACAAGGTCCACATCATCCTCATTTTCTCATGGTGAAATTCAAAATGTGGCATGACTGGCAGAATTATCTCCCAGCAGGCCTGTGGGAGGCGCTATTAGAAACAATTTTGCAGGTGAAGAAGGGGTTTCGGAAAGCAAGGCACAGAAATGTTAACTGACTTTAATGATCACAAATTGTGTAGCAATTAGACCTCTAGTCAGAGTTCTAATGTGGAAGTAAAATACTAAGAGGAGCCAACAGGATTTAAAGAAAGTTTATCTAGGACAAAAATACATATACAGGAACTTCCATGTTATAAACCTAGGTCTTGAGGTCACACAAGCTGCTAAATGTCAGAATCTGGATCCAAATCCGGGCCATCTGCCCCCAAAATTTGTGTTCTTGACTATGCAGTTGTCTCCCAAAGAGTCTCACTTGATTACAACACTTTACGAACCAGACAGTCCTCTCCCAAGAATGAACAAGGTGGACGTAGAGCAGACGCAGACCTTCCACAAGGTCTCCTACATGGTGTGCACCTTGGCCAGCTGCACAGCACCCGGCTGCAGCCGCAGTCTCGGCCCTCGAAGCACCTGTGCAGAGCCAACCAGGAGCCACCACCCACATAGAAGCCATCGGGGTGAAGATGCACCAGTGGGACAGGATCCTCCTGCCTGAGACAAGGGACAAAGACAGCATGGTGGGCGACTACCAAGGCAAGACCTTCACCTGGGTGGGGATCAAGCCCAAGATGATCAGCCACTACTTGGGCGATTCTCCATTGCCGACAAAAGCCTATGAGGCAGGGCTGGCTGGGCAGCAGGGGCCACCCACTCCTGCCTCATCCCCCTCAAGGAGCTTGTTCAGCCAATAAAGGCACTGACTTCTCTTTTAAAAAAATAATTTTTAAAAAACAACTAGTGATATATTCTGACAGCTGTAACATTTTCCAACCCAGTTGCACATATTCCAGCACACCGGGACATCAATCATACACGTTAATTTTTATCCTTGGTGTAAGTACTAGCCTTTCCAACTTAGCCACATTTAGGGTGAGGACTAAATAATCCAAATCTATCAGGGAGGGATCTGAACTACCAGGGAACACAATTATATCCTTAAGACCCGCTGCTTCACCTGGAGTGCAGGTATGTTGGAGAAGAAAGGGGAAGTAGTCCCAGGACAGGAATCTTAATATTTGCAGAGATTTGTATTAAAGATTTAGATTCTGACAGACCAGCATGGACCCATCTTGAACTTAAGTTGTACAATTTTGAGCAATACTTTTTGAATCCAAACTCAATCCAAAGCCAAACTATTGATAAAATGTTTAAAAATGCAGAAGTATAAAGTGTAAAACGAAGCAGTGGCCTACAACCAACCCAAGCCCAACAGTGACCTGGAACATAAGGCCAACCAAGGGGTCACCCCCAAAAGCACACTGGAAGCGGAACGGAAAACATCATCCCATTTTCAGTTTAAGGGCAGATGCAGCTGCAGCTAGAATCCTCTACATGTCTTTTGGTCACTGCATTTCCACAAATAGTCATAGAAAAGGCCCAGAACCAGAGCCGATCTGGACAACTCAACACAAAGGGGAGGCAGGTGTTGAAGGCAGAAGGAGAACATGACAACAGGCCAAACACAGCGGGAAGAAGGGGGAAAAGACTAAATGAAACACAAAAACCTCTTAGAAAGAAAGACAGCTGTGAGTAAAGCCATTATGTACTTCGAAATCTCAAAATATGTGAGGAAACTAGATCTAAGAGAAATGAAGTTTGAACTAACCTCAGGGCAGTGTCAGGCCTGCCACTGTTGGCCACAGTCCAGGCCGGGCAGGATTTGCCTGTTAGTGCCTGCACTTCGATGCCTCGACTCCCAAGTCCATGTTTATCTCAGCACCTCCTTACGCCACACCAAGCATTTGAGTCCTTACCAGGTATAACACACCAGGGCTTGCCTGGTGATTAATATGAGATGTATAATTAAAAAAAGGTTTATAATCTAATTAAAGAATGTTAGTACGAACTAATTTTTGAAAACTACTTTAACTCACTTAATCCTCACATGACCAAGAAGTACACGGAAGTGAAATCGACTGACCTGGTGGACAAGTGACAGAACTTGGGGGACACTCAAGTCCAGCCATGGAATCTAGAACGCAGACTCAGGGAAGTGTGACAGGAAACTGCATTGGACTCACTATTATTTATCAGAAGAAGGCTGCAGAAAGCCTCAAAAGGAACCTAGAGAGAATTTGGCAGTCTTATAGCAACACTCTCCTGGGAAGAGAGACTGGATTTCACAAGAGGATTTTGGTCATTAAATGTGTGACTCTGTGGAGCGGATCACTAGATTAATTCACAGGCTGGAGGGTGGGTTCTTCAAGATCATGCAACTCCCTTTGCTCCCATTCCTTGCTCAGCAAACAGCCCTCTGGTTATTCACTTAGTTTCCCAGTTGCCCTGATATCAGCAAGAGGGCTTCCCGATAGTGGGTGCTGGAAGGGCCGTTGCCCGCCATGACTCTCCACTGGCACGTGGGGTTACACATCGTGGTTTGCATGAATCTCTGGGTCTGAAAGTCTGCTAAGCTCTGCACACATCAAAACTTCTGTTCTGGAGGACCAGACCCCCTGAAGGGATTACTTTCTTGTGAGGCCCCCCTGAGTGGCCTGCCTGACCTGACTCCAGCTCTGCTCTTTAGTTTGCACAGTACGTCCCAGGTAAGGACAGGGAGAATGAGTGCTGAAGGAGTGAAAGGAAAGTCAGTGATAATTGGGGTGGCCAAGGAATGACTCCTACAAGTAAAGTTCGTGCCAGCACTGTTTTGCTAATTCTTGTTTTCTTTCCTTACCGGCAATAGGAATTTTTTATAACGTTGATAAGGAAGTGTCTAATGGTGAAAAGTGCCCTGCCCCACTCCCTAGGGCGACTGCTGTCTTCTGGCGGACCTCAAACATCACCATACTGCTCTTTTAAATAAGGTTGTTGGACAGGACGAAGTGCTGTAACGGAGCCCCCCCCCCCCAAACAACAGCCCAAACCCAGTAAATTGGTTTCTTGTTCATTTAACATCCAGGTGGATATTCTAGGTCAGCAGGAGGCCTTCCTTCATGCAGTGATTCAGAGACCAGGCTCCTTCTGGCTCTGCCATACCTAGGGCTTTGCCATCTCTGTGGCCAGTCAGGTCTCCCCGGGTTCGAGGCAGCGGAAGCAGCAGCAAACACTGAGAAGGCACACTTCTGCTTTTAAAGGTCCTGGTCTAACAGGTGGTACGTCACCCCTGCTCACATGGCCCTGGCCAGCAAATGCAGGTCTAAGTTAGGTCCAGAAGGTGATGGAAATGGATTTCAGCAGACAGCTAGCAATCTCTGCCACAATGAGTACTTTTAAATTCTATTGACTGCTGTAAGCTTTAAGTGATTAAGAACTCAAATACTTAGGTTTATGATCCTAACTATTGGTAACCCTAACTACTGTAGTTCATTCCAGAGCTGAATCAGTAAATATACTACACCATTCTGGTATAGCCTCTTGGGCGCTTTCTCCTCTAATGCCTACTGTTCCAATAGCATTGTAGCACCCGAAGGACTAGTGAAGCAGAGCCCAGCACTGGTTTCTAAAGAGTGAACAGGAGCCTGAAAGAAGAATTGTATGTGCTGTGTTTGGAGAACACTTAAGCAATTTCATAGAAGTGAGAAGTTTGCGTGTTGGCGCAGTGCAATATGAGGAGGTTGCAGAGAACACCACTTGCAGCCCACAGGCCAGAGGAGTGGGGAGGAGTGGGGAGGAGTGGGGAGGAGTGGGGAGGAGTGGGGGGGCTGACGGGAGGCTGTTTTATTGTAAGAGCACAATGAACTGAGTAATACTGAAGCTATGACTATCAGAGTGCTGTGTGTGCATACTCTAGTTTAAAAGGCACGAGAGCCCTGGCTGGTGTGGCAGCCTGCAAACCAAAAGATTGCTGGTTCGATTCCCAGTCAGGGCACAATGCCTGGGTTGCGGGCCAGGTCCCCAGTTGGGGGTGTGTGAGAGGCAACCAATCCACATATCTCTCACACATCGATGTTTCTCTCCCTCCTCCTCTCTCTAAAAATAAATAATTAAAATATTTTTTTTAAAAGCACAAGAAATGGTCTAATTTTTTTTTAGGATTTTAGTTATTTTTAGAGAGGGGGGGAAAGCAGGGAGGAAGAACAGGACAGAAACATCAGTGTGTGAGAGATCGGTTGCTTCTCTTACCTGCCCCAACCAGAAATGGGCCTGCAGCCCAGGCATGTGCTCTGACCGGAAAGCGAATTAGCAACCTTTCACTTTGGGTGACGATGCCCAACCAACTGAACCATGCTGGCCAGAGCAGTCTAATTTTTTTTAAATCTTAAAGTAATAGTGAAAAGAGCAAATATTGTAATGGAATGAATACCTGCCTGTTGTACTTGAGGGAACTGTCCCTCTTGTGAACTTCTTTGTGCTTCAGGTTAGCTCATCTGCAAGTCAAGCCCAGAGGAGACTTAATGTTTCATCGCTGCTATTTCCGGTCTTTTAAGAAGGCACCATAGGACAGAATGAACCCGAACTTCAAGGATGCCCATGTGACAAACAGACTTGGAACCAACTGGACAGGGCTCTCCTGTCTGACTTGCAGTGGGGAAAAGCAAAGCTCTGTGCAGACTGACACAGCCTCCCTGCTTCTCTCCCAGTGCTGGTAATAAAAATACACTGAATACTATTATGATCTTTTAGGAGGAAATGTCACCTTTAGCCTTGATAAACATCTCCAGGCTCCATTGGAGTGAAACGAGAACACAAGTGCATCAACAGAATGATGCAACCAGCTGGTGGGGAAGAGATCAGAACAGCCCTACCTGACCTTAGCAATGCCTGTGGACAGCACTTCTGTTTAGGGTCCTGATCACTAGGGAATCCCTGGAAGAAGCC